TCGTGTCATATCTAGACTTATTTTCTACATATACACGCACTGAATTTCCAGCTACCATTCGTAATTCGTGCACTCAATTACGATTCATTTGTTTGAAACCAGTTTTAATTACACAGTGTTCGGTACACATAATCCTTTACGATTACCTCTGTAACTAATACGAACAAGTTTACAAATTACTGAACTTATACAATCCCATGTATAGCACGAGAATAGAGACAACTTTCTAAGCAAAGGAACACTAGGTGCGGTAAAAATAGACTAAATTTCAAGAGCAACAATAGGCTAATTTGTGGTATTATTGGTAAATAACTCCATGAGCGTATAATTACTGAGAAGATTTACATTCTATATGTAACACCTTGAGGATGTCAACAGTGATGAACGCAGTAACAACTGATCAGCATGTCATGGCACGACCATGCAGGCGTGGTTACACTGCAGAACCTATTGTTTTTCTCATTGAATATACATCTACCTACACTGCAAAATCGTGTTTTTTATAAGTGCTAAACGCCATATTGCTGATTGGTACGATAAAGCTAGTCAGTGTAGATGGTGATGTGACTTCCATGTAATGTTGAAGTGACATTGGACCCTAACCATCGTACATGATCCGTCCTTAGAGTCTTCTATGTGGAACCCTATCATGTTTCTCACTAAAGTCGTTGCTGACAACATCTGCTGAATTTTCATCATCCCTTCAGAGTACGGGTGACACTCTGGCTGAGTGATTTCCTGAATATCGTAGTCAGTTAGATAGAATTGTATGTCGTGACCCACCTCAGGATTTTAGAATGTAGCTCTTTCAGTAAGGCTTCTTCTTCTGTATTTAGAGAGCCTAATATCTCAATTACATTGTCGTGGTTAAGTTCTTGGTAATTAACCCATCCTATGTCACTGGTCCTGTGCCCAGTTCTTCGTCGAGTGAAGGACCATGAGTGAATACCACCCCGAAGTAATCAACTATGGCTTCTACTTTCTCCCGGTGTTACTCTGTAGAATTATGGTCTACTTGTTATTAGTACTGCTCTGATGATAAAACTAATCCTAAGTTTGTAGATTTGTCATGGTTTGACTGCCTAGTCTTTAAGATCTTACTTGGACATGTTATACAGAATGGTCACGTCTGCGAGGCTGAGCTATGCCATCCGATTTAATGAATGAATATCCCCGCATTAATGTTCTCTTTGAGTCAACTGCCAAATATAATTTTTTTACAAGTTATATCCTCGGCTTCGAAGGTTATGTGGTTAGGGTCCAATGCCACTACGACTCCACCACTTGAGATGCATTCTTCAGTAATTGAACAGGGAGTCCACGGGTGTATTCTTATGATGTAATAAATATATGACTTCAGTTTGTGATGATTGATTTTCGTGTCTCATCTATGATACACTTATTGTGTCTTTATACTTATTCCGAAGTGCCTTGTAACGCTTATTTAAATTTTTTGCGCCAAGACTGATGATGACATTCCAGTCCTTTCAAAGTAAATGTCGAACATCTGGTTATCCAGGGATGGCTGCGTTTTTCTCCTTTGTGATTACTCAGGGAATAAACGGTCAACAAATTTGGTTGTGTGATTGCTGGATGTAATTCCATTCCTCTCTCACTAGTTTGGCTACGTCGATTTTTCAGTCTTCAGCTGAGGTGACAGCTGACTTTCTTCATGTATGCCATACATAAGTTAGGATACACTAACACATTTGCTTAGAAAACTGTGGTAGCAACAAACGTGTGGAGGGTGACTAGGTGGTCATTTCTCAAAGTGAGCGTCAAGTATTTTATTAACATGACCTCATACCTGTAAGCAAAGGGTGATCCATGGACAGAAGAAACCGTCATAAGTTGTAACTGATTGGATCTTTAATGTTTTGGACTGAAGCTATGGAAATTACGGTTCCCAGAAGTTTGTAACAAAACGATGTTTTTGAAGATCTTGTCTCTAGGTTATTATGATGAGCATGTGTTCTAGTTAATTACTATAAGGCTAACTTACATGTTTGACTAAGGCTAAGACTTACTTAGAACGAAACCACTTACCATAAGTTCAATTTGATGATACACTACAACTAAGTGGGTGTTTTACCTTTGTCTCTTATCCGACATCTCGTCGATATACAAATCCTCGAATAGTGTATCACTTTTTGAACAGATTGCATAATCAAGGAATCCTTTAATTACTAGTTAACGTCAACCTCCAACGGTTTATTCTACTGTTCAAAAATTAGAAAACCGAAACACTGAATTTCGATGCCATCTGTTCTCGATACTAGCCCGATTTTTGAAATCACGTTGATATTAGGCCTTTTGGTATTCACCTGACTTCTGAGTTCTAATAAGAGGCAATCATTTTGTATCCTTTAAGTGTTGATATCGCTATTTCTTATCCGTTTGATTGAAGTATCTTCTTCCACGGTTATAAATGTTTATCTCAATTCGGTCATTGATTTTAATTTAGCCATAGTCAATAGAAGCACCGGTAAGGGATCTGGCTGAGGATTAACCGCCAATTGTGGTACGTAATGTGGCGATGCAAAGGCTGATTTCAGAAAACATGCGCATAGTTCTCAGCAACTGTTTGCAATAAACTCAGTAGACCAGCTAGTACGTGATTGTTTGGCCCAATAAATATAAATGCCAAGGACATGTTGAGTAACTTTTATCTCCTGACAAAAATATGAAAAAGCCGTCTAAACTGGTAGTTATCCCTCGTTTTATATGCATAGAAAGCCAGACTCGTGGTTGTAGTATATCTTTATTTAGATCGTGGAACAGAACAGCTGAAGCGCGGGGTTCTGATTTGAACCCAATATAGGATTATATGAAACAATGCGTGCACAAAATAAGGAAGTAAATAGATATTTGGGATATAATTATTTGACGTTACCAAGAGGTTGTTGGCTAACTCTTAACCACTCCATCTAAAGCTGTGACAAAGCGAAGAAGAGGATGTCTATTGAAACTAGTGTTGGCGGGCCGGGCACCAACACCAGTGGAGATATATTCTGCATTGCAGCATTGCTATAACATCGACGCTGACTTTGATCATTATCAACGATCTGGTAGATAAAATTAGCTCAACGACACTGATTTACGCAGACGACGCAAAGGCTTGGAGATTCATAAAAAGCGGAAGGGATTCACTAATGCTCCAAAGAGAGCCTACAATAGTGACGGAACGGGCGGTAGACAGTGGGTTGAAACTTGGCCTGTCTGAATTTCATGTCATGAATATACCGTCTCATTTGATACGATTCGCTGACGCCGTCCATGGAAATTCTGGGATTATTAGAAGTTTTAAAATATAGTACAGAAAACGATATTCTGATACACAAACGGCTATCTCCCATTTTCATCGTACCTATTTCAGCTCATTATTATTTTTTTGATTTTACAGGGTCATGAGCAGATTTCATTTTGGGCGTACTGTCTAGTTTTGCTTGCGATAATATTACTCGGTAGGAAGTGAAACCAATTCAACATTACAAACACGATTTAAAGAGGTATTTTGCGTAATAAAGCATCATCAATACCATAGCTTTGTGACATCCCACTTGATCATAATGAGTCGTAATTTAACAACATGTACAGCCCTACAGACATGAGTGAATCGATGTTATCTCCCCACTATCATATTTGCTGGTCAGTAACGCCACCCATTCTCCTATTGTAATATTAGGCTCTCTTACGTTTGTGGTGTGTATGAATATTGCTTTCACCTAAAATCTTTTCTGGAATACACTCTCTCGACTAGCTCCATGTTACAAGCGAATTAAATGGTTAAGGCTTCTGTATTGTGGGTTAGACATCCATTAAGTATATCACACTGCTATGAAGATAACTAATGGTATAAGTTATAAGACAGTTGCAGATTATATGTGGTTAGGAGATGGTAAGGATAGATAGAACATCAAAGAATATGCAAGAGTTTACGTTGTGAAGTTTTCAGAAGAAAACAAAGCAATGCGCGACTCACAATAATTTAGGACATTATGAGCAACTTATGATCGGCAATATTTTATCAGCATCCATGAGATTAATGAGTTATCTACCTGCTTGCAATAAAAAAGAACATGAAGATCAGGAAGAATAATGCAACTTTAACCATTAAAGGAGTTGGAGATCTGAAAAAGAGGAGTACGAGCAAAAGGCTGATGTTGTCGACTGAGTAGGCTACGTATAGTTCGTTCGTTGAAATTAAGGAGTGTATAAGGCTAAGCGTGGATCAATGTTTAAAATCAAACAAAAAAGTTACGGACATGTGATGAGAAATGCACACACGTACGGTCACATAAGAAACAGTCAGGATTAATAAGCGAATAAGTGACAGGGTAAAAATGTGGCTTACGAAGAACGCCTCCGTTCACTAGACCTTTACCCATTAGAATATAGGCGTCTTAGAGGTGATTTATTAATGGCTTATAGTATTCTTAACACTTCTGGACATCCTCTTAAACACCTACTTAAGCTTAGTTCGAATAACAACCTAAGGGGTAACACCCAGAAACTGGAAACACAACATAGCAAGACGGAATGTAGACACAATTTCTACTCCTTAAGAGTTGTCAAAAGCTGGAATTCGCTGCCAGCCGAGCTAGTCCAAGCGACTTCTCAGGAGTCCTTCAAGAGGCAACTTGACCTATTCTTAAGGACTAAGAACAGCATCACATTATGATTTACCAATCTCTTTTCCTCTTTTATTGTTAACATACCTAGGTTCTTGCCTGGAGGATTTGGTGATCCCCTGCTACTAGACACGGAAGCCTGTTAAGCGAAAGCTTCTTCTATTCCGTCCACAACCATTTGAACCATTTGAAGAAGAATGAATAGATTGATCGGTCCGGATGCTAGATGTACATAGTAACAGCCTCTATATATATATTACCAGATACCTGGAACCGTACCGAGATAACAACAAGTGAGATAAACAGTCAATTGATCCATTCATATCTTTGATATGTATTCTGGTTATTGTTTAGTGAACAGCGTGAATCATTTTCGGAAGTGTGCGTTACTACAAGAAACCTTCACTCGAATCGGAATCTTAGTTACTCGTAACCATGTTTTTGCAACGAGATCTTGGGACGTAAGTTTTTGCCACTTCCTTTTTTGTTTCAGTCGGCAACTATTATGATTTTTTCTAGACAATTTTCCAAACTGTTCTCCCTTAGAGTAAATGGTGTGCCTATATGGGCAAGTAATATTACTTGCCGTCAATAAGCTAAATTTTGTGCTATGAAATAAATAATACTTGTTCTGGATTACAATCAGTTTAGCTACTCCAAGCAACCAATAAACGGTGAAATACGCTGAAAAATAAAGGGGAAATAATGGGGAAACGCGCTTAAATGTCTGCTTTTTCGGCTGTCAGGAGGAAATGGTTCGGATTTCCCCCTTTATGTCATTGTGATGTACATCACAACTCGGGTGGGACATTTGATATCTTCAAAGAAGTGCTATCTTAAATATATCAGGATAAATACTTGCGAAAATCCCAACATAGTTTCCCACTTTTACTACCACGAGTAGCAAAGTTTGTCTCTAAAATAACAGATAAACCTCTGCATTAATTCAGACAGTTACGTGCACCTGCCATCCAATTTTAGATTACCTAGATCACATTAGCTTTAGGTGAGTTTTGGGGATTTCCGCTGCAGAGAGAACAGTAACATTCCCTAATTGCATTCATTTTATCCTAAAACAAAAACTTTGATACACCTTGGAAATACATAAATATGCCAAATAAAAGTTAACTGCTATGGGGTCGTTTGAATGTGAAACGAAGCACATGTGAATTTCAATCTAACTTGTATCTATGCATTACGATTCATTTCTTTTGTAGCGTGCATACCATAGCAAATTCACCACTAGTCTGTTTCTTAACTTTATTTGATAGCTTTCTGAATTCCCTAGTCGCTTATTCCCTGAACATCTATCGTGGGCCATTTTGACAGTTATAATGGGATATTTTTAGCATTTACTTTAACGGAGTATCCCGATTTATAATACTGGCTAGAATAAGATTGGTCTTTAAACGTCAGTTATATCTCGAAAAAACTGAAAATAAACTCATGAAATTTTTAAGTAGTGGTTTTATGCGACTGCAAATATGTACATATTATACAAGCCTCTTGGTCTGTCATTCATTCAGCTACAACGTAGGGCCAGGCACATGTAGGCATCGGCCCAAGTTGCCATACCACATTAGCACAGCGAGATGAACACCGGATTCATAGAAGTAGTTAATTCAATGATGGTAATATATAAAAGAAAGATTACATATCAGGATATGGTGCAGAAAGAAAGAATGATATGAAGCGATTTTAATCTCATAGTCTAAGGGAAGACAGAGTGTATACACCTACGCCATTGTGATCGATTCTGAGCCATGTCACCAAGAGTCTCCAACAATTGGTTACGATAGTCACGTGGGCCTCTTGGTCTAGCCACAGACTTGTAGTTAAATAGGTTGTTTTTCTAAGGTCGTCGTTCAGTCGATTTTTATTGTAACTATTTCCAGTTACTGCTTACTTAGTAAATAGATAATGGATTACTACTGTATATTTACCGTTAGATTGAGTGTTATCATAACTTTTACTCATTAATCTATTTATTCATTTCCAGATCTGTCCCAATGCGTTTGTATACAATGAAAAAGCGTTATTTCGTTGTTGTCACAGTTACATTCTCCCTAATTATTGGATGTTCTATAATTTTTGGTATAGTTGGTATGCTACAATTATTTTAAAATTTACTCACTAAAGGTCCCAATGTTTCAAATTCCGTCACTGTTTCCACTTTGATTCGTCCAAGTATAACTAGTTTAGAAGCTAGTGTATGCGAGGTAGATTCTCCATCTCTTTCAGTTTTTCATCGTGAGCTGTGGTTATCTGCTATAATTAATCGTGCGCCCTTAGAACGTATGTGATTTGTAATCTTTTTTATTTGTTAATTGTTTTCTGTGTTAACTTTAGTTTTGTAACGAACTATAGTTTTTGTTATTCTCTGGTTATTTATTCAAATGGATTTTGATCCCATTTCCAAATTATTTGGTAAAGTATGTTTAAATGAAATAGAAAAACGAATCTTTAAAAATCTTTCAAAACGAGATATATAGTGTCAACTTATTTATGCAAGAATCGTTATTTTACCCAGAAAACAATTCTACATGATTCATGGATTTCAGCAACACAGTAGCTTATTAAACTTGCGCTCTGGTCGTTTGAACTTAGTACCTTTACATTTGTAGTTTGGCGGCTGTCCTATTTTGCTGTCAACCATCGTTGAACTACGGGTTCAGACCTCGTTTCGTCTTCTATGGTTTGTCTTTCAAACCAGGACACATAAAACTGATTAGTTGCCCAGTTACATTACATTTGAATGCTAGCAGCTGTAATGTAGTTCCAATAAGTGTAAGTCTAAAATTGAAGTTATTCAGTAGTCTATATGGGGTGGCTAGTATTGTAATGCAGGAATCACGTTTCGCCGCTTTCGAGGCTCGTCAACCGTATAAACATGTATCCAACCACTGGTGTTCTAACAGGGACTCGAAACCGCTCCTCTTTGTTTCAAACACCCAACGAGTTATTCACTTAGTTTCTAAGTCCAAATAGCCACTCACTTGCATAACGAGTTTGACATTTGTTTCATTATTATTAGAAAGGGCTTGAGTTATGCCAACAGACTCACCAAAATTCAGTCAAGAGTATCAACAACGCAATCATCCAAACCCTTTCTCATAATGACATTAACTAGTGATTTTTTGGTTCACGATCTATGTAACTGTGCATTTATTCCCCACATTTCCATAAACTAACTGTAATTCTTTTTCAAAAAATTCATTAATAAATACTTTCCATTTATAAAGAAAATGCCAAAGTATCAGTAAATATCAATACGTCTATTCAAGTACAGATACCCCATCTAGCTAAGGCTGGGAGTAGAATTGAAATGTTTAAATCAGATCCGAATTATAAAACTTTTGTAGTCCAAATGGGTCCAATTCACAACCGGACTATTCAAGTGAATTGTCCCGATACAGTAAGTTGAACATTGTATTTTTTATGTTTAAAATATTCGATTGTTTATCTCCGTTACTCCGTAACAATTACATGATCATACTTCCTCTTCAATTTTTTTCTAGTAATCTGTTGTTACTTACCACAGTTAATAGGAAATCATTGGAAGATATGTTTATAAAACTGTCTTTTTGTTACTGAATTGATATTAAACATGCTATTTAAGCTTCCTGTACAGAAATCACGATAATCTGGTCGATAACCTCTGAAAAAGTATTTTCTTTTTGCTAGTAACACCAAATTTACCTTGTTTATTCCTAGATGAGGTGCTACTAAACAGTATTACTGGTTCATAATCTGTTTTGAAACTGAACATAAGTTTCTGAAGTTTTACGTTTGGGTATGTCAGCCTTTAAACTACTGGGTCATAGCAAAAAATATCATCCATTTGAAAAGAATAAGTTAATTTAGATCAGAAGATTTTCATCTTGAAGCTTAAATGCTGCAAATACAAGTGTTTATTTCAAGTCCTACTGCACAAAATATAACCATTACTTATCGTTTCCTAATTTTCAGTAGTCTAATTTATTTCATATTGTAATTAAACCCTTCGATTTCGTTATATCGTTAAAATGTAATAATGGGAGAGCACCCAAGTCAACATATTACTAGTTCTTCAATTTGTTGACCATTAGTCTGAGTCCCATAATAAGATGTAAGTATCTTGTGTTAAGTCCCCATAGTGCTGAGAACTAATGATTAAAGGCCTTGCGTGACAAGGTTTAAAATCTCTCCCAGTAATGAAGATATGTTTCCTCTTCATATTCTTTTGTGTTTGTTAAATACTTAGGATAATAACTGAAACCAAAGTAATTCATTACTGAAGCGCAGGTTCATATGATCGACTTTTAGCCACACTCGTAGCGTCAAGCACAATAACGTTATTAAGTTTCCTAAATCAAAGTTAGTGGAATGTGGATGAAAACCGATCTTACTGGCTAAAAGTCAAGTAACTCAATCATTAAAGCATTCCCTAGCTTTTGTAATTGCCAACTACTTTATCTATTTTTACTTGTTTTGGTCTTTTTTATAAATTGGCCTTTTACGATTTATAGTGAAAAGATGCTTGAGGATGATTAAATTAATGTATAAAATGCGTTAATCGATTGGTAGTATGTAGTAATACAACGTGCTGCTCACCAGACTGAATTATTGATAGTTACCTAACAAAATAATATATATAAATATTTGTTTAGCTAGTCATTTATTGGTCACTTTCAATTATTCTGATGCGAATCACATCAACTATGACGATTAAACAGCTTAGCTAGCCTTTAAATCATTTCGTAGCATCTGTCCGTTATATGCTTACTTGGATAAGTATGTCTCCAATGCTATTCAAGATCGATGAAAAATTGTAGTGAACTTTTGTTGTACTTTCAACTAGCATTTATTTAGAATTTACAAATTTAGATTAACTCACTCTCCAGGTATTTAAACATAAACTACACCTTAAGTGCAATGGATAGCGATACTACCTGCTTTCTGAAACAGAAGTAGGCAGAGCCGGGGTTCGAACCTCGGACGTAGTGACTGAACGTCGGACACCTTGGCCACTAAGCGGCTGCTTCGGCCAGTATCCACTTGATACTCCCGTGTTTCTACTGACTTTGCTTTGACTTTCATCCGATCAAAGGGTTAACAATAATTATTTTCTAACTGTCTACAGCGGCTACACTGCTGTCATAGAAGTATAGATTATTGATTTAAATAATTTATTCTTCAGTATTTTCCTGAATGTTTTTTTACTCTGAACTTTATTGGACAACAATATATTATCATTATGGTGCATAGTGTTTGTCGTTTATTAGGTAGATATATTTATAATAGTTGAACTCTGAGTATATAGCAGTAGTTTCTATTTGTGAATACAATACAAATTAATGAAGTTTTCAAGATAATAAATTGGGGCTTAGTGAATAACATGTTAGTGTTTAAGGAGAAAGACAGCGGATTCGAGTCTCGTTGTGTGAACATCAAGACTGGGACGTAGGTATATCCAACTAGTGAGCTCCAAATAGATCGAGATACGTGTCCTATATCCCACTATTAGCCGCAACTAAACCTTAATAAATTTTCACTGTTTTTATGGAAAATGTCATTCCAATAATTAATGTATCCCGTAAACGTTTTGAATCAATATTCAGGAGCAATATCAAGTTAGAAGTAGTTTGATTCATTCATTTTTTTTTCGGGAGGGCGTCAGAATTCCACTAGTAACTCAGTAACTTTTATGTATTTGTGTTGTTTCTTTTTTTATTTTCTTCAGAAATGTGACGAACTATTCCTACTTCATCTTATTCCAGTTGATTTCACTATTTATAAATTCCGTGTAACATTCTATCATAAATTAACTAATAATCATTTAAAATACGAAGATTATGAAGGCAAACATTTATTATTTAAAATAATTGGTGTGGATTTCATTTTCCAATATTATACTATTGAATTTACTTATATGGAATTAGTAGTGAAGTTCATACTTTTTGTTATTTCAGAGGCAGTTACTGTAAGTGAACTTCATTATTATTATTGTCATTATTATTATTATTATTACTAAGTTTCTGACTAACACATATATGTGTTTTATTGGTTGTATAACGAATTAGCGTTAGTTAAGCAATCTTTGTAAACAAGGAAATACTGAGCAGCCGTTTCGTCCTAATATGAAACTCCTCAGCAGTGCTCATTCATAACCCCACAAAGGATTGAATCCAGGACCTTCAGATCTCACAGCAGGCTCCCAACCTTCGGACTACTGATTCAGGACCAAATGGTTTGAATTTCTATGCTCAATCAGTTCGTGATTTTGTGGATACTAGAGAGAAGCGTCTGTCCAGTGATTCCCAGTTTTCAATGTTTGTCTGACTAAGGTCAGTTCGTATTCTACACTATAAAATTCAGCAATACACACAGACCTCCTACGTTGATATAATATATATTTATATTGATATTTGATGGCGAATCATGATATTGATAAAAATCGCAATAAGTGCTTTGCCTTTAGATTATCTCGTCGTAATTTCTCTACGATTATAATCTATTAGTTTTCATTTGCATATCTAAAACCAATAATGAGTAACTATCTCATTTTCAAACTAGTTGGAGTTCAGTAGTTATAAATCCTCACCAGAACTTCGCGGATACATGTACAAGTTAGTCAATAGTTTTGAAGTTGTGACTTGATTAAAGCACTTCAACTATTAGGTCGCAAGCTCAATCCCAGGTTCAACTACTTCGGTTTGTGTAGCTAGGTAGTATCATTAGTCCTCACACAAACCGTGTAGCTCATAACCAAGTACATAAACATGTACGCGGTAAATAAGTTAAATCACTCTTTAGTCACTAATGTGTACATGGTTAGCGTTTTTGTCATAAATATCTGAGTTCCAGTTGTTTTGAAAAAATTTTAAAACAATTTCTCTATTTCAGTTTTTATATCTGATATTATCATTGACTTTCATATAGTAGGCGTGGTCTACGTAATGCTTCCTATGTAGTTATTTTATTTGTTTTTCATTACTATATGAAATACAATATAAATTTCACTTTTAAACCTCAGAATATGCAACCTCGCCATCATTTAGTTTTGAAATAGTGAAGTGATCGAATGTTTAGGTCATTTTGATTATTTACAAATTTTAATGGTCTTCGATTAGCTTGCCGTCGACTAAATGTCAACGTGAATTTACCAGGTTCATCTTATACCATTTATGTACCAGGTGTATTTTATCCGACTATTTATCCAAGGGTGAATACTTTTCATGGTAGTTCACTTCATGACGCTCCACAACTGTAAGATGAGGCCATTAAATATTTTAGAGACGTGCGTAACTCATGTATTCTTCCTTAAGTATCTTCGAAGATTTTATTGCGTACCGTTTAACTACCAAGTAACCTGTTTGAGGCATAGAGAATAAATCCGTTGAGAATGTACATAATTTAATCTAATTGGGTTTTGTATTACATAAATATGTATGAATTCAGTTAATAAAAAACGTAAGGGTTAATCATGTAGAACAATAAAATTATTTTATACAGTCTCCGACTAGTAAATCAAGTGGAGTGAAAAAAATGTAAGTTTTTTAAAGTAATATCTTTAGGTTAATAAAAATATTAGCATTTAAATACCTTCAATAATACATCACAAAATCAATTCTTATCTATGGGAAGATTCGACTTCACGATAAAAACATAAGTATAGGAACTAGCTTGAGCAATTTTTCAAATGATCACGTGGTGTTGAAGCCAGTTTGCAGAGATTTTGTGTAAATCAAAATTATTTCTCAACAGAACCAACAAAATCTGTTAGAATTTAATGGTTTTAGGAAGGTTATTAGTTTTACAAGAGTTATTATCAGTTTTCCAATATTAATTTTGTAAAAATATTGCTACATAACATCATTAATGTTAGTAGTAATATATTTACACTAATAACTTCCGAATCTTCCTCAGTCATTATCACTTACAAATTGCCTATCCATAAATTCTCTATATAATTCCAAAGATGAAATTATAGGTAAACCACCATTGTCACCGTATTTTTGTGAAGAAGTCGTACTTAATAAAATTGTTATCTATTTTGATATTCTCACTCTACCATCTCATTGGTCATTCAATAAATCACTAATAAAATGATTTCCTTACAAGTTTACCATCAACAAAGTAAATTAAGACAACGGTTAATTGTTTTACGTCTTTTTTTAAAAAAAAGAACACTTGATGTATTGAACATTGTCATGAATATCCTATCATGAGAAAGAAAACCAAAGTTTTTTCTAACAAACTCAAATGTTGTAAACACTATACAAAGTTATTTCTATTGTAAATATAGTTTTCATGTAATACAATGGTAACATTCATTCATCTTTGAATTTCACATTGAAAGGTGAAAGAAGTTCTCTCAATTTTGATTGATGCCTTTCTTAGTTACAATTATAGTTTTACCGTTTATATTTTCCAGTTAATTTACTATTAAGAGGACTCGAAGAATATGTACCTCTGATATGGTGGAAAAAGACGAAAAGTTACTGACTGACACGTTAATAGCAAATGGTTATCCACTCAAGTTTATTAATAGGTGCAAAAGTCAATTAATGCCAAGACCTCTAATTTATTCAGTGCCAAAGAAAAAAGTTTACATCAATCTACCATATAGAGGCGAATCAAACAGTATAGTTTTAAGGCACAGATTGAAAGCAGCCATTGAGAATACGTATTATGCTGCTCAGTTGGTAGTGATTGAAAAGTCTAAGGCCATGATTCATAATAGACCCAAACAGTGCACTAATGATTACGTCACATCCCATTGTATTTACCAATTTACATGTTTGTGTGGACACACATATATAGGGAGGAGTAATCGAACAATGCAATCAAGGGTCAATGAACATGTACCCAGATGGCTTCAAAATCAGTGTGTGTCAAATGATCCGATCAATGTAGGAGGTAGAAAACCAAGTTCATCAATAGCAAAACACATAATTGAGACGGGGCACAAAATTAACATTAATACAGCATTGAGAATGTTGTATAGAAATTGTCAAGGTCGAATTCTTAAGTTTATTGAAGCCTTAGCTATTCGTAAATTTAAACCCCCCTTATGTGTACAAAAACAATTTGTCGTAACCTTGAATTTACCTTGGTAATCCTTAAGTCATTCTATGACCTAGGATAACGCGACAATTTCTTATTCTTTCTCCCCCCTTAGTTATTTTACTTGTACTTTTATTTGTTTGTTTGACCTTTATTGACCTTATTAATTTTCATATAAAAATGCCTTGACAAGTATATGTGTGACCAGATTGTTCGAAATGTATAGCGCAAATACATCACATTTTTCAGATCAACTACGTCTTCTCATTGTTCTATCGAAATTTATAAAAGGGACTAATTGCTTTAAACTGATATTGTTTTTTTGGGGGGGGGGGATTTAATTTAATACGTTTATTGAGTTATTGTAAATGAGTGTTGACTTTACTTTTCTTTACAAATGTTTTTTTCTTCTATTTGTTGTTATTAGGTTTGGTTTTATATTAAGATGAAAAAATTCAGTCTTAATTATTGGACAATTGAACAGTGTTGTATGGCTGTCTTATTGCCTCTACTCATACTTCATAATAGTAAGTATAAAATCATTGAATAAAATGAAAACCTAAGAATAAAATAAAAATTATCTAACAGTTTTAAATTAGTGTATGAATTACCGTAAGTTCACTGGTTTACACTGATTTATATTACTACTGAAATGTGTACTACTTATACGGACAGATATAAGTAGTATGTATCAGGAATTGGAAGTAGGAACGTTACCGACAGAATAGGGAAATGAAGAGAAGCAACAGGAATAGAAGAACTATGGAGCTTGTGGAAGATTATTCAAGGAAGATGAGCAAATTATGTATTCAATGTTTTGTTTTCATATCTTCAAAATACAGTGTGTGATTTCGCTTAATACAATAAAGTGGCTTATCCTACCCAAGTCCTTCGTCCATTACACTACTGCTACTAAACTTAAAATAATCTGTTCACTAGATTCTGATGGATTGTGTTTACAATAAAGTACGGGCTGAGAGAAAGGTGAAAGTCAATTTAATAAGAAAAAGAGAATTCAGCGAAGAAAATTTTCGATGAAATCATTTACTTAAGCTGTACATTCGTATATACAGATATATGGAAAATGTATGTCTATAGGAAGATAGAAAAGATTGCATAATAAATGGATTCGAGACTAAATAACAAATGAGGTTACGTACTAATAAAAGGGTAAGGAAAAAACAATTTATGGGTCAGATAATAGTCCAATTGACAGATATGAAGACAAACGACAAACACAAAGGTCATAATAATAAACTGAATAATAATCAAGAAAAGTTGTATAGGGTAATAATAATAATAACCGACTAGAGATTAAAATTGCAAAACAATTTAAAAGTTCAATAACAATCAAATAAAAGTTCAGAGAAAAAAAGAAGAAAAACCAGGAACAAACCCATTAAGGGAATTAGAGCCAAGAAAGGATGAGAGGTTGGACGAATCGTTTCTGTACGCAAAGCTCAGACTTGAGTTCGTGGATTGCTAATGCCTCAGCAGTGCATAAAATATTGATTCGACCCCCCCCTTCGATGCAGTTCCTTTGACTCTGTAGATTACTTTAAAAGAGGAATCCTTTGGAGCGATGTGTCCACAGTTAATTAAATGCTACTGTATAGAACTAATGATTGTCTTACATTCTCCTTTTAAGAGCGTTTGGGAAGTGATTTCTTTGTGTGGCCTATGTAACGTGCTAGTCAGTCATAAGCAACATAGAATATAGCATATATATTCATCGATCCAAGTTATTACACCATATCAATGCAAGGAGATGAAATCATGAGAACAAATATCATGGTAATAGAAGTAATATCACTATCAGACATGTTACCTATTAATTTAACAACTGGTTAAATATGATGAGATAGGTAATGGACTAGCTGCAACTTTATAAAAATATACATTCTTCTTCCTGATTTTTATTTGTTCTTTAATTTTAGTCATATTACACGTACTTCACACTAATCACTCTTATTCTTGTTAAGAATTCTTAATAAAAAATACCCACCAATATTTGGTAAAAGTATATCAATCGAAAATGATAATTCAGTTGTACCAATAATATTTTTAAATGTTCACATCCTTGTCATAACTGAGTAAGTAATGAGCAACATTGAGCTTTCGATACTGTACTACTAAATGAAGTCATTGTTTATGTTCTTATCCTTCAATAATGAAATATCTAAGTTATTGTAGCTTTTATTCTCCTGTTTGTAAGCGTTTTTTTTATTCATAAACTGTAATTGTATGTTATGCCTTTCTTAAGTTATTGTTAATTGATTACACACCTACTACTCAGCTCTCACCTATGGCGTAGTTATACTGACAGTGATTTCTTGATTGTATTAATATGTGGTCAAGAGTCTACTCTTTATTGTTGTATGAGTTGAGTCATGAACTGAACCTAATAATTAGAAATTCCTAATTGTTGTGCATGTTCTATCTTGCTATTGGGTGTACAAGCGTGAAGGAACTGCTTTCGTTAAGCGTTATTCTTGACTGTTATCTCATTATTTTTGTGCCATTAATTAACCGAAGGTTATAGGTACTGGTCTTGAAACTCTAGGCGAATTAATCAGTACTTGGACTAGGCCAATACCACTTCTTTCCTGTATTACGGTCCGATCACACTCTCGCTAGAAATCACACAAGAAGTCTGTTTGTTTATTCCATCACACTGTATTGTATGACAAATGTTTTTCATGCTTAAAAATTTGTTTAATCCTATTATATCATGATGTACAGATAATTAATTCGTTAAAGAAGTTTCAAAAAATAATTTCATTCTATACATTATGCAGATCCTTTATATCCCCTTCAATATTTAACAACAAATTGGTTTCCATCATGTCTTGGTTATCTGTTTCAAATCACATTTGTCGCTGTATTATTATTAGTTTGGTTATGTATATTCCATGGTATACGAATTGTAAGTAAAAATCTAATTGTATTACTGTCTTTCATAACTGAATTTATTTTGTTAAATTTTTCAATGTGCAATAATCCTCTGTCCAATAAATACATGAACTAAAGTTATAACAAATTTATTTCATAAAATTTAGAATGAATGGATCTTTTTCTTTTCAAAATACTCATAATTTGTGTTAGTACACTTGTACGATCTCCATCTTGATTACTTAAAACATCCTTGAAAGTCTTTGGTAGTCGATAATTTTAGTTACTACTGGTTGCCTCATGCCTCCCATGAATGGTAATTTCGCATTTCAGGAACTAGAAAAAGTCATTTAGTGTTTTATTCTACTGACTATGTAGGAAGATCCGTTTTGTGGTGATCATTGAGTTACGCGTCAGAAACTCATGAATATCCATCCATACACCAACTATTCATTGACTAGTAATTTCATAGAGACAAGCTACCGAGAGCAGCCTAAGCGTTTGATTACAATGTAATTGATTATTTATTTCGTTATGTTTATGTAACTCTGCTATTCTTAGCAGCTCTCAGTTTAAATACTTACCAAACATACTGTGTATTAGCTTATCCAGTTGTCTAGCATTAAGAAGAATCAGAATCAGATAAACGAAATATCGGAGCGTATTTTTCAGATTTTAGAACTTGACTGGAACAAATCAATCGAATGTAGATTCATGTGTTTGGTTACGCTTTAAATCACATTTGTATCATATGTAAGTGTTATGACTGAAAAAATATGCTGCGGATTAAGGGGGTAGCGAATTATTGATCGGACCAAAGACGCGCAAACACGTAGAACGACCTAGGGTTCTGATTGGTCTCTCTTACCCTGTCTAACCCAGCCAGTTGAGTCCAGAACACAAGTTTCAGCCTCGGATATATGAATCATTATACTTCAAACATACTTTGTTTATATACCAATCAAGCAGACCACAACGTACCATAAAATAGAAAATAACATTGTACAATATTGGCCAACAGGAAAATGACACGTTAAATAAATATTGACCAATAAGATGATACTATTTCATGTCCAAGGATAGCATTATGCTTAACAGGATAATTTTTGGGATATTTTCCTGAATATCCCAACAGTAAGTCAAATTGCTATCATTCCTCAACTATCTAAACTGGAAAAGGATTACAGGTAGTAGGATGAGAATCTACGAACAAATAGTTACGATTTGAACATGTAATTTTAATCCACCTCAACTACACAAGTGAGATACAGCTAAATTAATAGATTGCTTATGATCAATTAAGCTGCGGTATGTTTACTTAGAAATCCCTATAATATATATGTTTAATTTTTATATTTCCAAATACGTAATTAATGTATAGACTAATCGGAGTTCTCCGTAAAAGTGTATTGTCCGAATGATCGATCGAATTGAGAATAATAACTAAATTACTTAGCGATTACAGGCTTCTGTATACCGTTTTGAGCCACACTTTATTGTGTGCGAGGACTACTGATGCTTCTCCCTCACCCTCAGTTATTCTAAGCAAAGTGACCGAAGCCGTGTTCGTACCTTGACAAGTGATTTAACCACTAAGCTATCACTCTTGATAACCAGTGGTCAAAATAGTACCGAGTCATTTACTCTTTACCTTATTCTTTATTTTTAGTCCCAGTATTTCCTCATATGTACCTCTTCACTTAGTCTTGTGGGATCATATACTTCAATGTTGAGTCGTTTTGATTATCACTAGCATCACATTAGTCCAACTCTTTGTTATTCGTCTTTGTAGATTTGTCTCATCGTACTAATGTGGTACAGAAACTTGCGCTAACGTATATATGTGCCAGACTGTATGTTAATTATCAATGGCTAACTCAATAATGGAACTGTCTTAAATGATCTTATATAATGATTTTTGTTTCTTTACGATAATCATCATTAGTATACTACTATTGAATATAAAATTATAATTTTTGAATCATCAATTCAATAGCAGCTGATATGTTTATCAAACTTCTTTAATTTTAACACCAGGTGATTCCATAAGTAATGAAGTTATATTGAATTATGTCTACATATATTTCCTATTTATACAGTAGTCAACTATAAAAAGCTTAGTGATTAAATTACGATAATTTGGTTATTTGTGTGGAAAACATTTACGTTCTTCTTTAATGACATATAAACATCAATAGAATTCGGTCAAGACTAAAAGAGTAGAAAGACATGATAGTAATCACCACTTAGTGACCAACCAATTGTAAATGTTTCAGTCATATAGGACTTCAGTCACTAGCTGAATATCTCAGTAGTAACATCTCACACTGTAGAGCTGGGTTGTGAGGATTTGAATCGCACAGGAAGTATCAGATGGACCTTGTTAACAAGTGCCAACTAGCACGAAACCTAAGTCGATCAAGATTACCTGCTGACTACATCTATTCACTTAGCAAACGTATAAGTATTGAATTCATGATGAAAGTTGAGGCAGTACAAATTGTCTGTCGCCTCGAAAATTCCCCTTCAACTTTGATAAACATCATCTCATCAAAAAATACGTTGCTTATTTTATTAAGGCTGTATTCTTGTTGACTTTTTTATTTGAATTTCTTCTCTCAACTAATCAACATTTGTATCTTCTTGCATATATATGTATACAGTCGAAAAGGACGTTTCAGAAATTTTATCTACCGAAAATCTGTTTGATTAGCATATTTTGGTTAATCATATTCTTATTAATTACTTGGAAAGTTTATGTGGAACATCACGAACCAGTGTTTGATATTCTAGAATATACGGATCTTCTTATCGTAAGTCATTTTTTTTGTACAAATTAATGCTTGAATAATTTATTTTGATTATATATTTTACCAAGATATCTATCACGGTAATCACTAAGACTTATTCATTTATCTGTTTAATATACATAAAATCTGGTACAACTGAATGCCAAAAATAGTGTACACCGCGCAACTAAAGAAATAACACCAAGGAGAATTGAGGATGGGAAGTGAAGTATAAGGAAATATAGGTGGATTAGAATAGTGTTTAATAGAAGATACAGTTTCGATATAAAAAAATCTGATCAAGAGGTACATTTGAGAGAATTCCTCTGGGTTTTTCAAATGTAATAAGAAATTTCAGTGGAATTACCATTTTTTTATAACGTCTGAAGCCACTGAATTGTGCATCATCTCCAGGATCTTAACCAAAGTGCTATAGTGGACCGATAGATGCCAGTTGTATATAACTTTCTTCTATACCATAGCGGTGTCATAAACTAACCACCTTCCTGCTTTTTTTTCACCCAGTTCCAACCTCAGCAAATAATGTGCTATGTAGAAGTCTCCATGACGACATTCATAAAACAAATCTAAGCTACCGAAGCTAGTGTTTCAAGATGATGATATAATTCAACGAAGTATTTTTAATGACTAAATTTAGGGTTTTTTAATCCATATCAAAATGATGTGTAGATATATTTAGCTTTGATAAAACTTTCTATAAATAGACATTTTCGTCTTAAAATTGACTTCAGCTGGAGAATAAGTAACGACAAGAAAGTACTGAATGGTTGTTTCGCCCTAGTCTGGGACTCTTCAACAGTGCACACTCACAATCCCCTCACATCGGTTTGGGTTCAAGACTTTCACGTCTCATAATGAGCAAGGCTATTCCAGTTGGTGTCAGACTGTAATGTAAACTATCCTAAAACTGTAAAAATCACTCCAGGAAAAATGAGTAATTAAGCAATGATCGTGTAGTTAACAATCAGACTATCTTTGGGTTGAATTTTTGTCAACATTGTTGTAGGAAGCCGTAATTTTTTTGGAGTCGTTCAACGAGTGCAAAGAGGATGGATTATTTTGTCTATAACTTCATTTAAGAACTACACCATTTAAAAATGGTCGTATAAAGCTAGAATCATACACCATTGGATTGTCGTCTGAGTGTATGGTCTTGTTAAATAGGTGTTCTCATATTGGTTAGTTTCTTGCATATGTTCTGACTATTGCGGGAAATTTACCATAGAAAAGGATTTGCTCACTCCTGATCTTTAATGAATAGTTATTTTCGCAGTGAGAATAAACAAATTTGGAAAATAGTTTTTTCCTTTTCTCTCTCTCCCTCTCTCTCGAAAAACTATTAAGGTTGTTTATTTTTTTTTATCCTTTCATTGTTTGTTTTAGTTTACTGTGGTTTTTATTAGTCTATTTGGTTTTATCTATGTGGTACTATTCACTGTGCTATTCATTCGAGCCTGTCATAAATTAAGAAAATTACCATATTTTAGTAAGTGATTGATATTTTTTTCATCTTACTACCAGGTTTTATTTGAATTATTTTGTGCGCTTTTACAGTATATAGATGGAATATCGCTATCAGTCGAATCCAGTATGTAGGTTTTTATTCTAGATGGAGCTCGTCAACAGAATATACCTGCCATATGTCAGTGTTAATGTTCACAGCCGGACTGGATCCCAGTACGTTCCACTTCAGATGCTTAGCGCATTATCTATTAAGCTACTGAGTTCAAATAGCCGCTCACTTTTAAGATGGATATGAATGATCAATAAGGGTTTGTAGTGCTACAGATAGTTTGTATTAACGTTTATAAATAAAATATTCATACTCTTTGCACATGTCAGTGGCTATCTACACTCGATAGCTCAGCCGATAACCCGTTGGTAATTTTAAGTGAAAGGTACTACGTTTGAGTCCCAGTGTGAGCAGCAGTCATATATTGAGATTGAGGTTCGTCACGGGTCTGCTATAATAGCTAACTAGAGGAAGATCGAGAATATTCTTATTTGAACAGGTTTTATAGAACACTCAATGGAATGGTGGCTAATATACAACTTCAATAATCTACACGGTAATATGAGACAGAGAAGTCGAGGTTTTCAGGTAGCTTCATACTCCGAACAGAAATCAAAGAGTGAGATCAATCAATTCTGTTCATATTTTCAAATCTAATGTCTTCGAGACGCATGACAAAATTAGGATACTTGAAATGGTAAAGACCAGTTATATATCATCAAAAGTCATTCCGGTGATATAATTTAGAAAAAGGTCATCGAGGTTATCCTTTAAAGCAATATATGATGCATAATAACAAAAACAAGATTACCTGAACTTTCTTTTGCTATATTAACGCTGGAACGTAGATATATCCAGCTCACGAGTCCTTGATAGAACGAAATGTATGACCCGAATTCTTTTGCTAGCCACAATTCATCTATTTTATAAAAGCTTATGAAAAGAGCTACATGGAGGCGATCCTCACAGGATGCTCATATGCCAAATAAGACTGGTCAAAATTCAGTCAAAACTTTTAACAATGGGATTATTCAAAGCTTTACAAAATAAATTAGATTTTTATACATTTGTATGTGTAGAACTTGTTATACGATTGAATCTGATAATTTGTAGATAAACTACTTTTGAAGTTTAATCATCACCATTTAGATGTTCTGTGTACTCTAGTCTACCTATATTTTGCTTTATTCATGCATGTAGTAATCATCAGTAATGTTCACAATCGTTATTCAGCTTTCTTGCTTGTTATAGTGGGACTTTAAGTAACAAGTAACCCAACCAATACAGCTCGATTAAGTTATCACAATATGTGAACCCGGCCAATGTGTTGAAGTAGCAGCTATAGTCGTGCACCCCCCTTCTGTTTAAACAATCAGTTAGTATCATTAATCCTCACACAAACAATGTATCATAAATAATATTAGCTTCATTACTAATTTATCGATATGTTGGCTTATTTTGTAACGTATTATTACATAATTTATTTAAGTACGGAAAATATTCATGTTGTCCCCATAAATTTTTTATTGTTAATTTTCATTTTAGACTTGCGTTTATATTTTCTAACATTCCAATCAATAATCTTCGTTATCGTCTTAGGATTTGCATGTCTATTGCACTTTAATGAGAGATTATTATCTCAATCCATGAATTATGTCCGTAATGTTAAGGATAATATCAGTAAAATGACTGCACAACAGCAGAATTCTCAAAATTACATAGGATTACAACATCGATTTAATGATATACTCGGTTATCATTCAACACTTGAATTCTCATTGATACAATTCACTATTAATTCATACATAATTCTATTGGCATTTGCTTACTCTCCACCAAATAATACACAAATAGGTAAGATTGGTTTAATGACTTTAAATATGTGTACATATTGATAATTTCATTATGCTGCATTGTAAAAATATATTGTGAAAGAAGGGGTTGTGATTGATGTTTTTCGTGTTGTATTAGTCAGTCAGATAGTGATGATCAACTTTAGTGCCTAGCAAACATAAATATTGACCAAAATTTCCACATCTCAATTACCATAACGAAATAAAGTGAACTAGATAAACAGCAAAGGAATTAAGATAATGTAGTAAATAGTACAACTAGCAGGACTGCTTCACCTTCAGACCATGGATTTGCTATTTTTATTCTTACCGTGCTCTTCAACCAATTTCCATAGTATAATAGGACATCAAGGTATTTTGTTTTGTTTTGTTAACTGGATGGTCTAATTACAAAGATTTTATTGTTTTATTTGTTATGTCCTATGGCCTGTCAAATATCAAGTGACTAAATCGCCAATCACAATTCTGACTTCTATGATCTTGTCCTTATGCGTCAAACAGCACTAGCAGCCTTGAGTCTATTCTGAATCCTTATTGGTTTTCAATATAGTAGCTTCACGCCTACCCCAACCCGTGTAGTTCAGTATGCAACCATTAGCCTCCATTATATGAATCATATATTCAGAAATACGTAGTTTATATACAAATATATATCCGATCACATCACACCATAAAATAGAGCATAATAATTAAAGAAGATCAAGCCAAAAATGGCTGTGAGTATGGAAGACCGTAATTACGAAAAGTAAATTGTATAATCGAAGTTAATAGATCAAATGAAACCTCATGATAAAATGAATATATATACCAATTGATGAGATTACAGATGTGTGAAAATTGTATGCGTGATATCGAGTCCAAAACGAGGAAAATTATTGAAGTACAGATGATAACTAGTGGATTTTAGTTATCGGGTTCAGTTAGTGTTGCGTTCGAGAGTAGACAGCTTGTGAAAGTTTATCATATATCTTTACCGGTTTGTTGTCTTTCTGTGGACATCAACTAAAGATGGTTTACGCTGGTCAGTAAAAAGTGTTTCTTCCTTTCAGTTTATGTTTAGAATGAATATTTTTACGGTACAGTCAATTACTGAAAATGATCTTTTACATTTTGATTGTAACTGTTTGAGAACTAAGTCAACAAGAGTAAAATGAACCTTTCAATGTTCTAAATACTTACTGACATTTTTGTGATGGGTCTTCATACATAGAAGGATATTAGCTTAAGTTGTCGTACAAATTGTATCAGGGGACTTGCAAATGCATTATTGTTATTCAAGGTTCCATCTTCCACACTAAAAAATTATACTAGTTCGTTTAAAATTATGTTATGGACGAACTGGAGTGTAACTAATATATTCTTGAATGGTCAAGTATTGTTGTTAAGTGATCACTCGGGTTTGTATTTATTTATTTTAACACATAATATTGGTACAAGGAGGCACCAAATACATATGCGCCACACAAATCTCATTCGACATGTATGAGGGCTGTGATACTGTCTGGGTGCCAAAACCGAAGCAGGTGGTTTTCTTAGAAGGCCACTCCCGAGCCTTCGACCTGAAGGTCTGATCCACAAGGCAGTGGAGCATCGTGCGGGGATGCAGTCCCATGGAAGCCGGTGACCAACAATTAGTCCATACGCCATTTGTTCCCGCAGGACACTGGAGCCCATGTGCACCATTGGTTTGGAATCCGGTTAAAGCGCCGGACATTCGTTTTTCGTCCTCTCATTTCCGTAAACAACACTCCTGCCAAGAGAAGGCAGTGAGTAGGACTTCCATGGCAGAGGCTATATACGCGTGGCCATGTGAGAGCATTTCGAGAGGGAGAGCGAACTCTCCCCACTCTCGACCGTACCAGGGCATTTGGGGGGGGTTTGTAACATTGTTCCGAACTGTAATCGAGCTTTCTAGACTATTGTCTTCTGTATAGTATGAAGTAGTATTCATATGGTCGGGAAGTGATATCTTACCGTTAGCTTTCTTTTTAACTAGGCTGACTATCCGCAACCTCGATATGATACGAAGTATATATATATATATATATATATATATATATATATATATATATATATACTCGGAGATTTGTCAAGAAACAATTTTATTTCATTGTGCTAATGTGATATGGGAACTGAATTGATGCACATTTCTGTTAGGTTCTACGGTGCGTATGACTAATGGATAATGTATGCCATACAGTAATTTGTTCTGAACAGTTCACGAATAGTCTAATTGTAAAGATCTATGACCGTTTTATAGATGTTTATTTTGAAATTAAGTACAATTTTACAAAAATGTTGATAAATTTACTTTTTTCTTCTAATTATAGAAATGGATGTAAAGGATAATCCATCATTATCAATGATAAATGATTCTGACGAAGATGTAATTTATGAGTGAGTTTTTAATGTAGAAAATAAAACTTTAATCTATATTTGTATACATAGAAAGTGGCTAGCAGTAGAATCTTGGACATTTGTTTTGTTCTACTTGAGACTTGTTAGCTGGATTTACCTGCATTTTGGCGTCATTGTTAACTACTGTATTCAAACCACGTACTTTTCGTTACAGACTCTACCGTGTTATCAACAAAGGAGTAATCCAGTCCAATACTATTTGGATTAAAATTCTTACTCGTTACACAAGTGAGTGGTTGTCTAAACTCAGTAGTCATGTGGGTAAGACTCTGGGCGTTCGGAGTGAAAGATATTGGGTTCGAATTCCAGATTGAATATCAATTCCAGGATGCAAATACATCCAGTTAACGAGTCTCAAATGTGACGAAACAGGTGTCCTAGTTTCCACTGCTAGACATATATTATCTATGTCTATCTAAAATTCTGACATTGTGGTTATATTAATTCATACAGAATGCACATATTCCAATTAAGACTGATCAGAATCTAGTTATACTTTTTAGATGGTGGTTGGAGGTAGTCAACAGGAAACCCTGGACCCGGGTTTCGTGCTACTTGGCACTCGTCAGCAAGGTGTACCTGTAATCTTGAGGGAACTGGTGCTCCCTGGCGGATTCGATCTCGTGTCACCCAGCTTCACAGTCAGAGACTTTACCACTGAGCTATCCGAGCCGTGACTAACATGATCGATAGCATTCGATCTGCACTAATAAGGACTAGACAAGCATGACGTTGATCACCACTCAGTGATCAATCAATTGTGATTACATCTCAGTCCTACAGGAGGTTAGTCACGGCTCAGATAGCTCAGTGGTAAAGTCTCTGACTGTGAAGCTGGGTGACACGAGATCGAATCCGCCAGGGAGCACCAGTTCCCTCAAGATTACAGGTAGACCTTGCTGATGAGTGCCAAGTAGCACGAAACCCGGGTCCAGGGTTTCCTGTTGACTACCTCCAACCACCATCTAAATCTCAATACATAGTGCCCGCAGTGTCGAGTCACCTAGACTGGTGGCCACATTGCAACATGACCGATAGCATTCGATCTGCACTAATAAGGACTAGACAAACATGACATTGATCACCACCCAGTGATCAATCAATTGTGATTTAGTTATACTATCAAAAAAGAGATAATCCAAACCCTTACAAATTAAATTTAATCTACCACGTTGTTATGACTAAGTTGGGTCGATTTTTACGCTGTGCTAATTGTTGTGTCCTTGACTGGAAAAATTAGAGAGCAGCGTATTTATCGATCGATTCAATGACACGTAAACACGTACGAACGACCTAGAGTCTCGATTGGCCCCGTTTCCCTGCCTAGCCCAGTCAGTTGAGTCCAGAACACAAGTCACAGCCTCGGAGATATGAATCATTGTATTTCAGACATACTCTATTTATATACTAAACAAACATACCACATTGTACCATAAAAATAGAAAACAACATTTGTACAATATTTAACGGATGAAATAAATAATGGCCAATAGGAAAAGTCCATTTAACGTCCAAGGACATCACTAGGCTTAACATGATAATGATTGGCACGTTATTCTGCATCCATAACACACGTCCAGTCAATCGTCTACCTTAATGGCAGTTGGTTTTAGCAGTCTTTGGTACATGGATTGAAAAACTTTATAAAGGTGTTTGGGAAAATGTTCGCCCCAAAAGTTAGGTTAAAATTCACTTTCTATCATCATAATCATCATGACTCCGAAAATCCGTCTATTCTGAACCGATAACTATCATTAACTTTTCGTGTTGACATATTGTAGAGGCATCCATGTTACAAAAGCTAAGAGTACTGTACGATTGGAAGAATCCCAAAATATCCTTTGAAAAAGTCTCTAGAGGCCCAGAAATGCTAAGAAACGTTTTGTCCAATCAGCGTTTAATTGAATCTTCGCGGAGACATCTGGAAAATGCAGAATCACATGTCACGGTTTTGGTTAAATATTTACGTATACTGCTACTTTATTTAGTATGGTTTCAGGAATTTTCTAATGCCCAAGGTCGTGTATAACTAAGTACCCTTTTTTTCTGTGCGTGAACTAACCTTGGAGTAAAGCCTTAACTTGCATTTCACGACTTCTCTCTGTTGTTCCAGTTGACGTGTAGAAGTAGTTGGAGTTATAGTAACCGGATAGGAAGACAGTTTGAGCGTATCTCTAAAAAGATTCATCACATACAATTACCGGTCGATATCCTATTAGTTGAAAGTCGGAAATCTGTACTAAGAAACCATAGTCCCATTGTCAAGTACATAACAATAGAAATCAAGCGATTCTGTATGTGATAAATAATAATCAGTGATAGCTCCTTTTCACTTGTTATCGCTTTCAAATTCATATCCATAGAGCAGAATATTTCCGTAAATTGTCTTTTCAATAATGTACAAATTATATTCCACTTCTCTTCATACTGTTTCTAGGTACTAACTACAAAGTTAAACTGAATCATGCAATTTATCAGTACCGCAAATGCATATAGTATATCACTTGTTGAAAAGTTTCAGTCTGAACATGATATAACCCACTGATTCACTACAATGATAACGATGTAATTTAAAATGACAAAAATACAACGCCTGTTTTTTAACTGAACGGTATTATTAGTAATTAGTGAAATAACAACTCTTTGTAGACTTTTTTGACCAGATTAAGATGATTGACTGATTTGTGGTAAATTGCTTCAGTAGTAAAATAGATTCCCCTATACAATTAGTCGGACATAATAGCATATATCGTAATCTGAAGAAGAAAAATCTCCTCTACCTTATTGTAATCACTGTTTTTCTTATTCTATTTGAAATCATGTCGAAAAATGCCATCTCTTTCTATTCAATATATTTCACATATTTGTTGAGAAATAAATCTGTCCTGTATGCTTCCTCGTTTCCACTTTTCTCTTACAGATCAGATACTGAAACAAAGACATTTTTATTCTCCCAACGTATGTATTAACAATGATAATGATGTAACATATCTGTTTATATGTGAACAATTCGTGTATCCGAATCAGCAGTGTATTTCTATGATTAATTCGTTTCGTGTTTACGTTTAAATGGACCAGTGAAAATCATGAAGGTGCTTCCTTTTTACACACACACACACACCATTGGATTTTATCATGCGGATTTCATATAGGTTGTTTTTTTAGATCTTCACTTAAAATTCCCCTGCTATTTTTCCTTGTTTTTAACTAAATCACTCATTGTATATGCATGTTTGTGTGTGTGTGTGTGCTATGATGTGGTGTATTTAAAGCGTTCACCTTCCAATCATTACTTTACAGTTTCCAACTCTTCCAAATCTGTAAAATGTACACTATCGGTTAACGATCGCAATCCACTAGATCAAACGAAATCTATTATTAGATTAAAACCTTGACGGCATTAACAGAGCTTCAATTTGATTATTGAATTATAATATTCATGTAAGAATATCCCTACATTATTATTATTATTGTTTGTACAGATTATCTATGACTGTTGTTTATTTTTGTTTACTCATCAATAAATTATTTGGGATTTCAGTAGTTTACATTCAAACAATCATTAATGAACTGTGATATATCTTTATTCGTATATTCATGTTGGTTTTATGTAGTTTGTTTATTTTCAGTAGCTTTTTGCATTTAAAAGAAAAAAAGTAATATTCATTTTGTCACATCGTTTATCAATTTGATTCATTTTTCTGTGTTGGTTGTTTGTTTATATATATGTATTAAGAAATGTCTTGTTTTCTTTGGAACAAACCTATTGTTCAAATAAATTTTTCTGATAACTTCTAAGTGGTGTTTTCCTTACGTTGATTTTTCATGTTAACTACTTATCATAAAGTCTTACCAACTAAGTAAATCTACCATTGGCTGTTACTCATATAGGCGACTTTCTTGAATATCTGGGCTACTTGTTCCTGCCAAGATATTTCAACAAGTTATCTGTCTTTTGTTTGTTTCAACAGATTATTATGTCAATTAATTGTATAACCTATTCAGTTGCGTTTGTGAAAAGTTCACGACCTTTCGCTGTATAAGTTAAGAAAGAGAACAATCAGAGACACTTTGGTTGCTGGCAATATACATAGAAAAGAATGTACATTGTTCAGATATCGATTGGCTTGACTACTAACATCTAACTGGCGATCGCTTAATGTTTATCGTCAGGATTGATCAAGAAATAAGAAACGGAAACTTGTTGAAATACTTTGTGCTGAAAATTCTATATCGTACCAAAAATATAATATTGAATAAAGCTAATAATAATAATTAAAATTTAAAAGATAATACTCAGTGGTAAATATCTTAGTCTTGTGCCAGAATATTATCGACCTTAACATTTCAATAGTAACACGTAGATTCGATTCCCGCTAGATATATGTGTCCAATCGAGATGGTAGTTATGCATTGTGTTCATGAGTATGAATTCGCACGACGCCTAGATTCAGAGTCTCCTGTCAATCTTTATTAACCACTTAATATTTCCACTTCTTAAAAAGTGTAATAAGTTATTGGAGGTTGAAAGCTAATGATTAAATGCTTTTAACAACTGTTGAATTTAGTGTGGTAGTCTTTGATTCATTTACTCTGTTCCATATAGTACACAGTATTCTCTCTTTATTGACCAGAACTCGGATCATGAATTAAGTCATTAGTCACATTATAAAGTTTCAAAAAAATATAAACAGGTTACTGGTGTATACCATCTTCAAACGACATAAGTATCTTATCACAATTAAATAGTCATTCTGACTTTAAAGCTGCTAGAAATCATTTTTTCATCATAAGGTTATTTACTGATGAAAAACTAGTTAGTCTTCCGTACGAAGTTAAATTCAAAAATGTCAGTTAATTATTTTAATTGATTATAAAGCCCGCATAATTAACACTCAATTTGGTTCAGATTTGGTGCAAACAATGCGATAAAATTCACTCACCAATGATTGGTCACTTAATGATAAATATTGGTAAAACCTTAATCAGAATACTGGCTTTATTTAAGCGATTAGCTGAATCAAGAGTTTAGGACACCAATTTTTGTTAAATCATTAGAAAATTATGGTTGTAATAATAAATTCAGTTAATGAATATAAAGTCCCAGGTTAAAGATTTCTGCTAATCTTGTAAAGCTGCTCGAGGAATTAGCTTCTAGGAGTTGTATTGAGTATGGTAATATCACCCAAATACCGGCCTCAACCCAAAATGTGAATGCTTAATTTACACATCTTCGTGTAACAGCTACATATCTCGATAACTGAAGGGCCACTTCACCGCAACCTAATGGCGATCTTGTCATGTCACTTTAGTGTCGTCTAAAGAATAGTTAGATTCTTAATAAGCAAAGATGACTTCGAGGAGTTGAGACGAGTTATATACTTGTGTTGATCAGTTTTCTGAAATTAAAATTTGATGGGCAACACTGAATGACGTGACTAAGGTTTATTGTTCCTTCACTATCGCTGATTTAAAAATTCTTAATTTTCCAGTGTAGTGACTCACTTTTATCACGAGAACACGATTGGTTTATTGAAAACAATTATTATTATAACCAATTGTACCAGTGACTGTTTTAATGTGCCTTTGTTTAACTGTGCTAAAAAGCATCCATTATTCTTACACTTTGATTGTGACTTCGCGCGAATTCGGTTACGTTCTGTAACCAAGCTTGTATCCTAGCACGGTCTCGGTATCCTTTCGATACCACGAGATCGCCAGCAAATATATTTCGACTTGGTCTATTAACTGCCTTCTGATATTTGGCTTCCGGGGGATTTTATGGATTTATTTGGCACGTGTTTCTCTGTAGCGGTGTTCATAGTCAATTGGGACTCGACGCCATGCTACACCAGCAACTGGAGAATTTTAATGCCGTGGTAAACTTCCAGCTGCAATAACATTAACTGATCGTTGTTGAATTGTACTTCCTGATGTTTAAAATGAACAACATCGAGATCGAGTATCAATAAAGACGAGTTCTGTTTAACCCGGCGATATACAGAATTTATTTGCTTACCCACCTCAATCGCTTTAGATACTGCACTTCAGGGTTCTTGGATAAGCCTCCCAAATTAAGTCTCCGACTGTGAAAGATTCGTAAAAACACAGATGCTATCAATGTCAATTCTGCTTGCATTTTTATTTGCATTCTCACCTCACTCTGTTAATTTTTGTGTGTTACATTATACTACTTGATAATAATCAGTAACCATTTTCGATTATAATAATGGTACGGCTTGTTACGTCTATCAGTTGTTTGATATTTATGTACATAGAATTCCGACATACTATTTCTTTATTGTTCTTATTCCATCTTCATGATATTTACAACACTTACTTTTGCCTTTAGAGTATTCATAGAACATTTATTTTATAGTGATAATTTACTTTTCTGGTGTTCTTCATTCCCATGTTCCAACTGTCTGGTATTGTAGTTTCGACGCAGCTATTAGCTGTCACAAAATCAGTAAAAACTTATTGTATTATTAACATGAATATGTTGAAGATAGTAGGTAATTTTTTAGACATTCTCCGAAAAATACAGAGGTGGTTCATCAGTACCATTCTTAGAGAAATGATAGCAATGCAGTACATGCTATTTATATGAAGCAATGATCAAACATAAATTTAGTAAATTACCCGTTTGTGTAAAGTAAAGAGAGATCAGAAAGGCTGCATCATATTACGAGAATTTGGTTTGTTATTGAAAAAGAGAAGTGCAATAAACCTAGGCTTTTTAGGTTATTAATAAGAAAGAAATTTACATAGTGAGTAAAGTGTAGGAGAGACGGATACGGAAGCTGCTCGATATTAATAGTTCGTCTATGCGTTCCGTAAGCTTTAGCCTTCTCCATAGAGCGTTGTTTTAAGCCGTTTGCCAAATACCAGCGGATTTTCTTTGTGGTTGTTAATTATCAGGTGGGATTCGTAATTGTGAGACTCGTGTCGTCCGAGTGTACCGGAGGAAAATCAACATTATTAGAGTCTTCTCGTAAATGAACGACTTTAGGACGATCGATGCCGATGTTATAGTTTGTTCCGTCCTTATTGATCATATAGTACTTATGTATAAGCTAAAGGACATTGAAGGACCCTTCGTATGCGGTTTCAAGAGCTCGCTCTATTGAGTCGCAACTTACAAAGACGTGTGTACTATGTCGCAAGGCAGGTTGAACGAAAACATCAGTTGACTGCAGTTGGGTGGAAAATGTTTAACTGGACACATGGCGTTTGTAAGCCTGTTCATGTGAGCGTTTAGATCAGTATTCAGTGAAGAAGATGGACCCGTAAGTCTCCTCGGAAGTCAGAGTGTCGTTACTTAAACGAGTTTAGATTCAGTGTACCCAATGTCATCTTTCACTGCATTGGGAATGCCGAATAAAACGGTTGTAAGAGTGTCCGTTTATCGCGAAACCTTCGCAACTGGGAGTGAAGCTTTTAACTATCAGTGAGGACGTTCTACCAACTTGTTTGCTTGTGGGTGGTGGGTGGTCGTTCGGAACCGTGTGACTCCAACAGAAAAGTCCAGATTCGAACTGGCGTTCACGGTCTGTAGTGATAGTTGATTAGCAACCGAAGTTTGGTACCCACGATCCACTGTTTCAGCAGCTATATCCCTGATGAGTATTGCTTCTGGACACAGAATGAAATGGTTTACAAAAGTTAAGAGATAAGAGTATCCGTTTGAACCTGGTAAGGATCCTACCAGATCCAGATGAACCTAATCGAAAGGTGCATCTGGAGTTTCGAAAGTGCCTAGGGAATATTGACCGTGTCTAGTCACCTTTGACTTCTGGTAGCTTACAAAGAACTGTGCCTACTCCCTTACTTTTTCGTTCATCATTACAATGCATGGCTAGGAGTTCCCTGCTGAAAGTGCTGTACCTCGATTTAGTGTATAGCAACCGTTTTGAGAAGAACGACAAAGATTGCTAGTCGTTGTTTATGGTTTGTTGTAAGACTCCTCCGATCGCCGAGTCGGATGCACCTACTGTGACACTAATTGGTGCTTCGGTGTCTCGGTGTGCGAGCAATGTGGTTTTGGTGATAAGTTCCTTAAGTGTGAAGAACGCTTTATTCGCGATATCGTCCAAATTGATGGATTTCGCATTTCCATGAAGTTGTTCCGTTAAAAGCCTCATAAGAGACGCACAATCCATTATGAACAGTTAATAGAAACTTACTGGTCCGTTAAACGTGCGCAATTGCTTGATTGTGGTCCGTTCTGGGTTATCCGGAATGGCCACCACTTTGCCTTTTAAAGGTCGGATGCACTGAGCATCAGTAGTGTATTCGAGAAAACCTAGATATTCGGCGCCGACTTGACATTTCTGAATGTTTACAGTAGTGCCGTACTTTTGTAGTCGTTCGAAGACGAGGTCCAGATACTGGAGATGAAATACTCTATATGTACGCATGTACAAAGGCGAGACATCGAAAGACGTCATCGATGAACCTACGGAAGGTTTAGGCAGCATTTCTTCAGCCGGAAGACATGCGCAAAACTCGTAGAGAATGGAAGGAGTGATTATAGCAGTTTTAGGAATGTCGTCAGAAGGCATGGGAATTTGTTTATAGGCTTTAACCAAGTCGATTTTCGTAAAAAACAGTTGTACCTTTCGAGGTATCTGTCAAATCGTGAACCTAAGGCAATGGGTAACGACCAGGAATGGTCTACGTATTCATCCTCTGATAGTCATCAGTTGTACGACTGTTGTTGCCTTACTTTTTAGTAACCATATGCAAGCGAAATGCACATGCGCTCTTTGGTAGCCGAACGAGTCCTAAGTTTATCGTGTGATCGAATTCGTTTAAAGCCAACTTCAGCTTTTCGGGAGCTAGTTGGCGCGCATTTGAGAATATAGGTGATCCTATAGTGGTGATGTAATGTGTAACATTGCTGGTTAAACGTGGCGATTTCTGTTGCGTTTGGTATATCACAGAGTACTTATCGAGTTACGCAAACAGGTAAATTAGTACTCCTGTTATGATGGATATTAAGACGGTGAGTGAGACAGATTTGTGACATCATTTTGTGTTTTTTAGGCTTCTCTTTGACAGAATAAGCTTCGGCACTGGAGGTTCAGTAATTTTCGGTATCCAGCTAGCCAATGCAGCCAGTTCGTCTACGACATTATTTTCAAATAAGACGAGAACAGCCTGCACCTAGTTGGGAAGCTCAGTTAAGAAAAGCTATCTGATTAGGCTGTCGTCAAAGGTCGGTCGACGAATGAGTTCTCGCAGATGTAGTAACATCTTTGTTGCTGAGCCATGCTACAGCTCGATGTTGTGAAAAAGTTGGTCTAACCTTTCTTGGTCGAATTGTTTTCCATGCATAAGGTTAGCCTTCTTCAAAGTGTCGTGAGGTTGCGAAACGTCTATAATAACATCTCAGGTGTTACGCATCTGTTAGAGCCGCGCGGTAGTGTCTTCATTATTGCGAGGAGATTTTCACGAGTGTCTATCGCTCTGTGCCCATGGAAATCAAATTCTGTGTAGCAGAACCAGTTTTCTATATTGTCGAGCCAGAATCGCATGAGTTCGAAGGTGGGAGGCAAAAAAGGTTACAGCTTAAGTAGCTTAGGTGTCCGTCACGATATGATAAAAGTAAGATATACAAAGTGCCAAGAAAAAAAGTATCTGAAAATGAAAACAATTTTATTATATGCAAGAATAAAAGTTAAAATTATGATGGAACTAAGAATTCTTGTGGGATACAGCTTTCCCGTCGAGTAATCAATACTTGGTAGAAGTGGTATGTGCACCATCATTTGACCTTTTCAAAAAAGAATACGCGTATACATAGAGGCTTATATATAGAAAGTTAATGAAAAAAGTGTCCGTCCGTCCTCAAAGCACAAGTCTGAATTTATGTCAAAAGGTTTTAAGGCGCCTCAGAACTTGATACGTAATGTTCAACAATTTTATTCGTCTCCATTTAAAGTACGGGAACAGTAATCCCTCCCTCACTTCAGAAGTTTAAGGACAAACTTATGGGTAACATTCAGAAAGTGGAGAAAAAACACAGCAGAACTGACTGTAGATGAACCCTCTTCTAATTAAGAGTAGTCAAATGCTGAACTACTCCAAACAACCTACCGGGAGTCCTTCAAAAGGAAACATGACATATGCTTAAGGGATACGGTCGTATCTTACCATGACTTACCATCTTTTTCTTCTCCTTTTTTATTGATAATATATTCAGATTCATGCCTGGAGGTATTGGTGATCCGCTGATACTAGATACAGAAGCCCGTTATGCGAAAGTTCCTTTTATTCCGTCCTAAACCATTCGAACCGAGTAGCGCCTAGTTCAAGCATAAAGCTACGCTGATGGGTGGCGATAATTCTAAGCTAGGCTATCGAAATGCAGTTATACAACTCACTACGAAAACCCAAGTATTGCTAACATTTCAGATTACTTATTGATTAGCCTGTTGATTCTAACGATGATAACTTCTGGGACCAGTTTTGGGCTGAACATCCGATGTCTATCCAAGATATTTTTGCCCTTATCCCTGCAGCCGAAATCCGAGCTTTAAGAACAGAAGCCCCAAATAATCTAGCTACCTTGTGCTATAAAGCCATTGAGCGTATTGCACAAGTGTCTGAGTCTGCCTCACCAACCACCAAAGACCAAACTACAGGTTAGTTTATCCGAGTTGTATATGTTTTGCAGTTCTTAACTGCATTCGGTTGCTAACCAGGTTATTGCCATTCATATTTGAAGACACCGAATGGCGCTCGTTTTTCTGGTCACCTCTCCCAGTTGATCCCTCTGTATCCCGAGAAGTACGTTGTCTTAGTATTTATCTTATCAAAAAAATAGCAGGTTGAATTTGTTCCACTTGCTCAAAGTTTACTGTCAGCACTCTGTGTAAGTGGCTTTTTTAAATTCAAACTTCTCTAGGATCTGCTATTCTGTCCAGATTTTACGGTGCATTCCATTTCCAAATCTGGTCCTGTAAGTTTATTCGATGTGTATTGTCTATACATTGTATTATATTCAATAAGCACATAAAAATTCGAATTCATAGCTGCTTAATGTACGACTGACGATCACTAGTATTCGTATTGTTTGGAGCAAGGTTTATTTAGTTCGTTTGATAGTACGCAGCCTTTGTATTTATCACGGTTGTATGTCCTCGGCTTTTGAATTGCAAACAGATTTCATAACATATCGATGATTTGCAACAAAATGCAAAGGCAAACCTATAACCACGATAAACTGTAAAGTGATACTCGCTAATGCTGTATATATCGTAGTTTTATTTTTTACCACTTGATAAGGAGACTAATTAAGAATGACAATTCACATAGATGGTTTCATTCTGAAGCTGGCTGATTAAGCAACAGTTTCATTTCTCGCCATGATCATTTTCCATCTGAAATCCTATATTTTCTCCAAGTATCCAATGGTTAAACTTCTCACTACCAGTTATGTATGTTGAGTCAATTTGCTCCTGTCATTTTCTATCGAAATAATTGAGGGAATTATTTGTGGTTAAATGCACTAAAGTCACCATGCCCTTTTCGTAGTACGGCTATCGGTAGTAAGTGGCGTTTTCAGTATGAAGTTAGTAGTTTAGATCCCGATGTTTTACTCTGAACTTACAGTTTGTCATTAAAAATCGCACCAAAGAAATACATCATCCTGGTGAAAGCTTTATATCCGAATACTACTGAACGAGTCAGATTGCGACGTACTGTCACCAGAATATTTGACCTCGAATGTTCGTCAGGGTTTCACACTGTTCTCTTTTTTACATGATTTCGTCATATATAACTTGGTAATGACTTTTCGTTCAACATTTTACGGATTGATTTGCCAGAAGGTTCATTTATCGACTTAGAATACCAAAATGAAGTAGCCATAACTAATTAACTTGTAACCACTTTGAACAATGATATAAGCATGTTTGGGATGCGTTTCTCCCTCTAAATTCGAAATATTACTTCAGGACTGGTTGTCATCAATGACTGTACTAGTGGTAGGAAGTGAAGTAGTGGATTGTTTTGACCACTTCACTAATCTTTGAATTCTCATCAGCCCTGGTGGGTTAGTTTCTAACGAATTCTAAGTACTTATTCAGAAATCTCAGTTAACTTCTGTCAACTTGCCCCGACGGGTGATGTCTGATATAGGAGCAGGTTGAAGGAAAACTAGGAGCGGTCGACTTAAGAAAGGGTGTCGGTTAATGGAATTATTGACAATTGGACAGCCACGTTAACAGGTGTAGCCTCATTAGTTTTCCAATATGGACCACATATTTTATGTGACGTACTGTTTGTTCGGTTAATTTGTTCACCTATATGGTTTGGTTCTATCTTTTTTATTGTAGCTAGGTTCCTTTCCGAAAGGTGACTCGATTCATCCTGACTGAGTCTTTATCATAACACATTTGCGATTGTTATTCTATAGAGCATTCTTATCTATGGACAGAAATGCTGTAACTTGTTTTCTAAAAGCAAACGCTTCTTGAGATATTAATTTCCCTAAAATGAGCTTTGCTGATAAATTGTGTAAATAAATTTCATGATAAGTCTGGTTTATTTCTTGTATTAGAGGCCTCTCAGTAATATTGCACAGTTAATTTCTCATTCTAGGAAGGCCCAGAAGATATGCATACTATTGACAGTTGTGAGTATATCTGGCAGTCTGGTGTGGGATTTGCACAAGCTCCTGCGGTAAACGCCATTCATGATTCTAATCGGACAGAAATTCTCAAACTTATTTTGACTTGTTTTTCTGAAACTATGTATTTGGAACAAGAGGAGGCTCACCGTTCTGAAAATAGATGGGTTGCATTTTTCACGAGTACGGTGAATCGTCACGCACTGCCATTATTTGCTTCCTTGTTAAACGTTGTTTGTGCATATGATCCAGTTGGTTTAGGTGTACCATACAATCACCTTATGTTTTCTGATTCACGTGAACCTCTAGTCGAGGTAGCTTTACAGGTAAGTTGATAATTTAGTTGTCCTTACTTTTCTAAAGTTAATAAAGGGAATTGTACATATGATACTCGTTAATTTACTTAATTAAACAAACAATTTTTTTAAAATCTCTGATGCTTGTGTTAACTCCATAAAAGTTTATCATACTTCGCATTCTATATCTATTCATATTTCAATTATAACTTAAGTTTTTCTAACAGATAAAATTAGAGTGGAAAGTAACTTTCTTCCTTAAATCACCCAAATAACATGTTTCTTATGTGTAAATGTGGTTACCGTATAATCAGCCTTATGTCAAAAGGACGGATAAATACATTGTAGTTAAATTGTTTTTTGTATGACTAATGTATCTTTCTCTGTCATATTTACTTGGAAAACTATATTTGTTCCCCATAGATACTATGTATAACCTTAGAACCTGATCATATGATATCAAGTCCTACCTATTCGAATGCATCATTTCGTGATTTAAACTCTTCTCACAACCATCCTTGTTCAGATGTTGACGAACAGTTAAGTTTAAATGGTACTGGGATGACTAGTCAAAATAGTGGGAATGGAGATGCATGGAATAACGAGATGAATCTGTTCGTAAATTACATGTCTCGTATACACAGAGATGAGGTTAGTTTTATTTTGATATCATTTTCTTCTAACACACTATTTAGCTATCTGCCTTTTTTTACTTGTTTGAGATCATTAGTCAACCAATGATAATGTTCAATGAAGTCTCATATAGTTTCTTAAAAATAGTACCTTTAGCTATTAGCTGTTGGTTACTTTTGACGTACTTCACATTTTTGTCAAGTAGGTGTTTTGGCACTTTCTATACACTGTATAAGGTTAACATAAATTCGTAAATTTATAAGCTTTAGTGTGATGCCTTATAAGTTAATGGATCTCCGTCTTAAATCAGGTGTATTCAAATCTCATCATCCAGATTATTGGTAGTTTTATTTTCATGAATTTTTACTAGCTAGTTTGATAATAGTGAAAGCTGTAATCGGCTGTGTCCTTATTTGATATTTATTTTCCAACCAATTAATTTCATTTTCCTATTAATTTCCTACGAACTTAATCAATCTTTTCATGTAAATTGTAAAATCTACAACCATTTAATCACTAGACTTTTTTAAACTAGCAAATAAACAGTGTCAAAGTAAGGGCTAGGATTTTTAATGGGGAAGGTAACAATCATTTATCTATGCCGGTTAAAGTGACCGAGTCCAAAAGGGGTGCGTTTGGCGGCATCACTGGTCGATATTTACCCTGATTTCGAGCGTTCTCATCGTTATAGTGAGTCTCCCAAGGCAGCAAAACCAATCCAGAGATTTCTACTAAACGTTGGTGTCTTATTCGTGTGCGTATTTCAAAATCCATAAATATGGTCAATAACAATCATGTTAGCAATATAGAGATTGGCTTTTACAGTAGTTCATTCGTACTACATAAGTCATAACATTTATTATTTGAAGTATTAACAGTATAATATTATTAACTAAGTTCAGTTTAGAAACAGTAAAGTTACCCACATCTCATGTCTTATTTAAAAAAATTGTATTGGTCAGTGTGTAGTGTATTCAGTATTTCGAAGTATACTCAAATATGTCATTTTGTCCAAATCATAATCACGTTAGGTTATGTTGCTCTTTGATCTGAGTAGAATAAGTTAAAGGTTCTAGCTTTGAAAATTGTGTATCCTGTCATATTACAACATCTCATTGTTTCCACTGATGGTAGTTCGAATGCGAATCGTCTAAATTATTTCTTGATCTTTCTAGACACAAAATTAACAATCCTATTTTTTATAACTTTGAAATTTTCTCTATTTTTATTTTTACTGTGGGTTACAGAAAGGTATAAATCAATTTTGCACACGTTCAAAAATAAAAATCTCTCTTGACTGTAAATGATTACTTAACTTCTTTATATTCTAAGATTATCAACATTTTTGCCTTAATAGTTTTTTTTATCAGTATGGGCTTGTGGAGGTTACTAGTTGTTTTCAAGATCACGAACGTATCTAAATAAGACAAGCAATAAACACCTTGAAGCACTGAACAGCAATATTACTGGCTTATTGAAGTCAAATTTTGGCTTAGTAATCTACAGGTTAAAGATTCACATACGAGACTGATGGTCCTAGGTTTTGTCCTGATGTGGGGCTCATATGTGCTCGCTACTGAGTGGTCTCACACTAAGATGCATCATATGTCTAGTGCTTCCAGGTTAACATTAGTTGTCTAACTTGGGTCGATTAGATATCTCAATAACAATTGTTTTTGTTAACTAATCTGCTTAGACTCCTGACATCAGGCTGTTGTTAACTGTTAACTTTCTTTGCTTAAAATCCCACCTTTCAGTACATGAAATTACAGCCAGTTAGATAAGACTAAAAACTATGTTTGCAAAACGTGTTATTCCAGTGACACTCGTAAGAATAAATTATAGTTATGTATGTAAATTTACCTGAGCCATATGGTACCTTATAGGAAGTACTCTTAAAATTCCTGAGGATTCAATCTCTCAGATCCCAGATACCCCTATCTATCAGCCTTCTTTTAATAGTCGATTCCAGCTTGTACATCTTAGTAGTTTTTAAGGTTTCTACATAAATGGTAAACTTCTTTGCTTTCAGTAAATCAGACTAAAAGTTGTTAAACTTGCTGCAGGGCGAATAATTATATACGGTTATAGTTGCTGGTAATGTAGGTTCGTCACCTGGAAGGCGAAGGGATTGGACATTAGTAAACGTTTTATTAGGTTCACAATCGAAATCCGCATAGCAGCTGAAAATGAAAATATTTTATCGTACCTTCACAGTGTGCCAGGGTTTGGTATAGTTTAAGCAGAGTTGATAACTAAATTTTTCGTCGACTTAGTCGTCAAAGAATTTGAGTTTGGACTGTCAAACAGTTACACGAACCCTGGCAAAAAATACATTGCTTTAAACCGGGTAAAATAGTAATACAATTCTTTTTTAAGTACAAATTGATGCACTCGTTCTTATATAATGTTTTTAGTATATTATGTTTTTCATTACCACCTAATTGTCTAAACCGTAGCCGTCGAATTTGAATTTGCACTCACAATACAACAGTTTAGAACTTAGCATTTACTGGGTTGGATATTTCGAATTGATTATAGAGTGAAATCGTACTTTTTTACTCAGTGAAACATCCTCTATTCAGATGTACAGTTTCTGGTGTAGTAATATGTTTTTAACCTCTTCATGGTAGCCAGATATCAGTAGTTTCTTAAGGTGGGCGTAGATTATGAAGGGAACTAGGTCGTATAGTTGAAGTTCTTAGGTTTCCTACAAATCAAACATTCGTTCATTCCTTATCTCCATTTTTTTAATATTATAAACACTATTCCATTCAATACTTATCTGGTGCTTATCGACTTAGAGTCGTTCACAATGACCCTTTATCTTACTCTATATTGAATTTCAATTTTCTTACACACACACCTTTCTACAATATCTTTTGGAACAATATTCTCAATGCTTAGTCTTTCTCATCGTCACATCTACATTATCTTGATCTTTTTTGTTATTCATCTTGTCTTGCTTATATTGTATGGCAGTTTGGACTAACCCATGTTTGTCCCAGTGCTTAGGTGAATGATGTCTGATTGTTTCTCGTCTAATTATTCACGAATTCTTGTTTATTTTAAAATTTATCGCTTGTTTTATTAAATTCTTCAGAAAAACGGAAAAATGAGACTGTGTCGTTAATGGTTGTAAGTAGACGGTAGGAAACTCTGGATCTAGGTTTCGTGCCATTTGGCACTTGTCATCAAGATTTGTCTGTAATCTTGAGGGAGATGGTGCTCGATTGCGTCACTTGTTTGTCAGTTTATGTACCTTTTGCCTTGGCCATACTATGATTTTACTTTTCTCAATATAAAAATATTCAGATAGAGGTTTTGTGGATATTATAGTAATTTAATTATTGAATTCTTGAGTCAATTAGAGCTAGACCACCATGGAAAACCTGGAAGCACTAGACGGCCGTTTCTTCCTAGTATGGAATTCCTCAGCAGTGCGTGTCCACGATCTCACCTCGCGAGATTCGAATCGAGACTGATAAATCCTAAGTTCGAGCCTCTCGAGGCAGGATCGTGGATATGCACTGCTGAGAAGCCCCATACTAGGATGAAACGGCCGTCCAGTGCTTTTAGTTTTTCAATGGTGGTCTAGTTTCACTTGACTCATGAATTCAACAATTAAAATAAAAATATTCGTTAGCTCGGGGGTCTTCGAGATTGTTGAATGTCACTGCGTTCACAAACCTGCCTGGTTTAGACAACCGTTGAAAACATTAAAGCACTGAATGATTATTGCACCTAGTATGAGGCTCATTACCCCTACCACAAGTTACTGAACTCGTGCAAACACTTAACCTGTAAATCACAGCCGAAATTCAATGGTATACATGTCTAACTTAGAAATATTCGTACTCACATGCTTTAAAGTCTATCAAAATTAAGATTTTCGTATTAGTTATTTCTACCTTTTCTCTTCTTTTCTTTTTAAAAGGATTTCGCATTTATTCTCTCTGGAATAACTCGCTTATTAAATAATCCATTAGTACAAACATACCTTCCTGGATCCAGCAAAAAAGTTCAAATGCATCAGGAACTTTTAGTGTTCTTTTGGCGAATATGCGAATGCAATAAGAAATTTATGTATTACGTGTTAAAATCAAGTCAAGTATTAGATTTACTTGTACCTATACTCTATCATCTTAATAATTCTCGTAATGACCAATGTAAGTTGGTTTTTTCTTTATTGAGGGACGTATACCATTATTACTACTATTATTATAAGAAAATGTATAGCTTGTTTAAACATGAATTAATTCATCAAGTTATTGAATACTAAAAGCCTTTTTAGTGTCTTACTTATACTTAAATCATGAATTACATACATAACTCAAAGAAGATAACTCTTCTAATCGATTTAAAATGATGTTGATTTGTATTTGATATACTTATCGTTTTCATTGTCATCTTCGCTAATATTGTTTACTTGATATATATACTTTTTTGTTTTCGAATACATACTGGATGCTATCTTGTTCAATCTTTGATTTCATTATGTTCTTTTGAATTATTTGACACCATTCAATAAAACTAACAGTATTACAACAATCTACAATATACTAAAATGATTAACAAGTGAATCAGGGTATATTGTTGTTATCTTCGCTAGTTTTTTTTTGATGTGAGAAAGAATAAGTACAGGTAGTAGGGTCTTTACAAGTATATTCTGAAGTTCATGAAATTTTACGAAGGGATATCTTCTCAGTGGATTTATTACCATTAGATACTTTCGTTGAATTTTATGTTTTTGATGTTTTAGTCAAAATTATACTGAAAGACGAATGTAATACATTTTATTACAATTCGAATGTCGCATAAAATTTCCTATAAATTCATTTATAAACAATACGTATTTCAATAATCTAATTATTTATTTTCTACCGCTAAATTGAAATTTGTTTTGAATGAAATTTCAACCTCTCTAAATACTAATTGAACTCACAAAAAAGAAAAAAATTATTATTTGGAAATTCTGGATACTTAAGATAACTTTTGAACTTATCTATTCTATAATTCATCTTATGGAAATTTGAGTTGAATATTTTTGTGCTAAAGTTTGCTGCGTTACTAGTTTTCGTTTACTTAACACTTAAAAGAACTCTGTCATTATTTTGATTCGCTTAGATTTTAGTATAATATTTTGATACATAATCTTCAAGAGCGTTATGAATATAGTTATCTGCGCGAGTTATACACTATAGGATCCTCCTTCTTATGGGTGTAATGAATTTTCTGGTAGAAACTCGGATTCTGTCTGTTATTACTGAACAAGGAATAGGAGAATAGGGAGAACTTTTGTCCATTGACATTGAAGTCAGAGTTGAGAATTTTTAGTTTGGGACATAGATATTTTAGTTATCGATTCAAGTTAAAGAACGTAAATAACACCAGTTAAATAAAAAGAATTCCTTGGAAGGTAAGTTTAATAGTAACATTGAAGTGACTGTTTAGTGGTTAAAGCACTCAGTTTTCAGCCAATAAATCACACTTTGGAAACCTATTCTATTTACATCAAATCAGTTAGCTGGCTATAATCGTTCGATATCACAAAGAAGTGTGACGTAAAGCCGAGTATATGAATCTGTACTTTTTAAATGTGCCGTTCGTATCCATTAGTTAAAATTTTTTATTAGCTTCCTAACACCATGGGTACTGTTTTGACAGAATTATGGATGGAACTTTTCAAACAATTATTATTATTATTTACATTCTTATCATATCGTTAGTAGAAAACTGTATTATTGTGTTTCTATGTTCTCTTCATGGTAAACTTCCAAGTCGACCTATTAACTGTCGTTATACGTTAAACTGTCCGTAGTTATTGTTAATTAGCTGTGTACTATTTGTTCTGTCTTTTTTCACTTATGGTATGATTGTGTCTATAGCGCGATTCCTTATTTGGTGTACTGTGCGGTCTAATAATTCATGTATATAAGCTAATGGATGTTTGAGATAGTTGTTGCTTAGTCTGGATTGTTGAAATGCACACATTATGTGAAGCTAGTTGTTGACTTCTCTTCAGACACAAGACAATGGGTTGAAAAAAGTTTTTGAACGGCCGAACGGTAGGAGTGTGGCTTGTGTTGGCTCAAGATTAACTGTTCAGGTCCGAACGTAAAGTCGGACGCTAGGCTATATAGACGGAGTGTTGACTCGTGATAAAAAAATCATAGAATTCTGACTGGTGAATTTAGCATGTGATATCAATTACTGTCTTAATTCGTAACATGTATTTCAACAACACTATATTTCTCTATACTGCTTAATTTAGTGACTGTTAATTACCAACACTAACAAATATACTCGTTTCCGCGGTACTTTCTATGTATGACGACTTATAATACTATTCATCTGTTGAAAATAAGTAGGTTGGGGGTGAAGTTAGAGTCGGCGACCCAATGTTTATAGGTTATTTAATCTGACCATTGGTTTTTCCATTTACCAATATTTCGTTTCACTATTGCACGTTACGATCAGTAACTGATTCTATTTAATAGCCGTCACATTTCTTTTAGGCAGTCATTTTTACGTTTTCTGTTCTTCTGAATTAACTTAATAACAATTCAACGTCAAACATCAACGTAGCCTAGTTGTTTAGTATCGTGAATTTTATCTGACGTTATTGTTTACGTTACATTACAATTTGTTTAATATTACATCATCTCAGAAACTTTACAGTATAAAACTCTGTTTATGTTCATACATTTTGTTCCTAATGATTTCTATTTCTACAATCAGTGATGTGCACTACTGTCAAATACATTCACATCTTGTGATGATTATTTAATTTACATTTTCATCATAATATTCTTGGTTTATTTTTCTCTCAGCTCGTATAGGATTAATACACGTTGGTGTATTCATCTTATTATTACTTAGCGGTGAAAGAAATTTTGGTGTGCGTTTAAATAAACCTTATCGCCATCGTTCCTTGTTAGATGTCCCAGTGTTTACAGGAACACATGCTGATTTATTAATCATAGTATGTAATGAGTTATTAGTGTTATTATGATCTTTTATTTGTTTTAAAATATATTTTTTGATTCATTTATTTGTAACTTTATAGTATGATATTAAAAGCAAATTCCCTACCCATTGAATTGGTTCTCACCAATTTCTTTTGTAAATTTAATTATCACTTCTTTCTCTGTATATGGTTCATTTAATATAATACTTGAATTCATTGAATAAGTCACGAGTTCCCATGCATTAATATATCTACCTACTTGTATCTCGTTAATTAGATTGTAGAGTATTCACTTTCTATAAATAAGCAGATCTTTGACAGTGACCTTTGTAATTATTCGTTTAGTAGGGATATATATATATATATATATATATATATATATATATATATATATATTACATTATGGACTGGATCTAGCTAGATCATTTATCAATGAGGAGACATTGTACATCTGCTCCATCCTTGAATGAACCATTTTCTGAATGTAGACTCACAACCTCTTCCGAATATGAGCCCAGGGTCTCCTTTGGTTCTGTTAGTCATATATAGTAACCAGAAGAGTTCACCTGTGTCAAGGCAACCACCAGTAAATAATGACCACTCAATGGTATGAATCGAAGGAAAATAAAAATCTGAGCCATTAAATGGCAACTTACTGGTTTATAAGTAATCCACACCTTTGTCGCAAAGTATAAAGGTCTCAATTTCTATCTTCTACATTACCATGGGTACACGCAACTATACAGTTCCATATTAAGACAAAATATTTAAATGTCGCTAGATTTTATTGCTCCTTCAATACCATATATACACGTAATCCAGCGCATCATGTAAGTTGGGCTTTAATCTTCATTCACGACAAAGTTCAGTTATATTCACCTACTGATCTTATTGTTTATTTATTTGAACACATAAATATTTGTACAAAAAGGGCACCGAATATATACGCACCACACAACTCACTTGATTTATGTGTGGACTGTGATACTGCCCGAGTGCCCAAACAGAAGCAGATAATTTTTTTAGGAGGCCACACCCGAGGCCTTGTACCTCAAGGTCTCATCCACAAGGCAGTGGAGCAACGTTAGGAGATGCAGTCCCATGGTAGCCGGTGACCAATTATTGGTTCATACGCCATTTGTTCCCTCAGGGAATCGGAGCCTATGTGCATCACTGGTTTGGAACCAGGGTTTTCCAACTCCCCTAGGTGGACCCTCTGTGTCCACCAACCCGGTCAAAGTGCCGGACATTTGGTTTTCGTCCTCTCACTTTCGTAAACAATGCCCTCGCCGCTAGAAGACATTGAGTAGGACTTCCCTGACAGTGGCTGTATACGCGTTGCCATGTGACAGCATTTCAAGAGGGAGAGTCGACTCTCCCCACCCTCAGCCATATCAGGGCATTTGGGGGCCACCTACTGATCACTAATGTTTATAGGATCTAGAAGCTTGTACTGATGAACAAATTAGTATTGTCAGTTCTAGAAATACATATACTAATCACCGTCTGATCACTAACAATCCCTTTTTTACTACAATTTACAGCATCTTTGTTAGTTGTAAATTAAAATCATCATTTAATATCCTGTCGATTTTTTGTTGTTGTACCGGTTGCTTTTTGCCACCTGGTAATTGGTTTTCTTCAAACCTTATAGAATCCATGATTGGTCATTATTATTATTATTATTATTATTATTATTATTATTTTATTCTAGGTTTCTCACAGATTAATTACAAGCGGACATAATCGTCTAAATCCTTTATTCGATTGTTTGCTAACAATCATAGCTAATGGTAAGCCATCATATACTTTTTTATTAAGCTTGCCAATTTACTATATATTTACCCAATCAATGTAAGGATCCTTTGCGTTGATTCTTTGATTGTGATGTTCATTTTTTTATAACCGTTTAATTAGATCGTATGTTATTGTCGTACCATTAAACTTGTTGTTTACAGAATGGGCAGACAATTGTTTAAATGTCTGCATTGTCTTGATGTATTGGGTCTGTTGTTCAATCGAAAATTCCCCATGTTAAATTTGCTTTACCATACCACATTTTTATTTTGCAAAACGAATAAGACCACATTTTATACCGTGTGTGCTTCAAGGTTACAGGTTATATATCGATGAAAAATACAGACTAGTGACGTCATCATGAATACTATCAGTCAGGAGGACTTAATAAGCTTATTTTAATACGTTAAAGTGTTGAGGGTGACGCTGATTTGAAATTGTAGACGTGAAGCAGTCGTAAGACAATCCCAAACAATATGACACATCGATATTTTTTTAGTGTTTCGGTAAAAGAAATCAATTGTAAGCAATGATTTTCCCCTTCGTCAACTGGGAACTTAGATAAATCATGTTACTTATATTACACTGAGTAAGTGGAACTCGACCATCTACTTCAAAGCGAGTTTGGCAGATGCTTCGTGCACTGCAAAGAAATCTACTCCTGAATTTTGACACAGCTACCATTATCTCTTGCTTATACGTGGGGAGTTGTTGAAATAGTTAAGAGTCATATAAAATCTGTTCTTGACCGTTGAAAAGCTGTCAAGGAAGGCTAGTCTGAAGTAATATCCTGTACTTATATGCCATAAGTTTGAATGATATGATTTGCCTTAAACTTAGTCACTTTTGAATAACTTATATGCAAATCTGTAAAATCTCATAATTTATCAAGTAGAATATCTGCATCTATTTCATGCGAGTCGGTTTTTCACCGAACGTTCTTCGACTTCAAGATAGACGAATAAAACAGCCATTTTCTTAATTGCCCAATAATTATATATATATTCTCTATTCTGATTAGCTATAAGCTATGAAAACATGCTCCATTTCCATTTAATAGAAGTAGCTCAAGATGATCCTTTGTCTTATGCATGAGTAAGTTACTAAAGTGAACCAGACAACTATAAACAACATATGAACCTGACAAAACTGTTTCGGTTCAAGTTGATGCACCATATTAGCACAACTTGGTAAAATCGTCAAGAAAAATGTTTTGCAATGGTAGTAGCATCAAGATTAGTGGTCGTAGGAAACATTACGTATAAACAATGTGATTCGAGGAGAAAACGTGAATTTGTTGAATGAAAGTTAAAGATTATTTCGAAACTCAAAATCTAGAGGAAAAGTGAATACATCTGCGCCGTTCCAACTAATTATAAGCAATATAATTCAACGCCTCCAATCACTGGTCACTACCATCGTACGATCCTGAACCTAGTCCGTACAAGCGAAATTTACCACATTCTCAAGCATTTAAACGAGATAGGGTAGTGACTAACAGTGAAATTCAGGATGCGCGTTCCACCATACTTGGGACTTGTCAGCTGGATGTACCGGGGTCCCAGTTTTGATGTTCAAATAAAAACTCAAACCCAATACTTTTAGCTTCTAACTCCCACCTCGTTATCCACTTAGCAACGAAGTCCAGGCAGCCATTTATTTGTGCAACTGGGTAAATTTAATTCGTCTTATTGGTTGATTGTCAAACGGAACTGATCAACTGCAGTCCATAACATCAACATAAAGTTTCAGGCAACCAAGATAAATGAAATTACCACAATCTCTTCATTACAAATTTCACGATTGTTTTCTCCACCGTTTATTCGCAACTGTTATTGAAGTAGTTAATGTATCCTGCTCCACTTGTATGTTTATTTTCTCAAAAATCTCTTTCTCCTAACTAGTTTCACCTTACTTGAAAAGTTTATCTATGGTCTCATCAAACAAAATATTACATTTATTGGATGCATTCAGTCAGCCATGGTTTTTGTACAGTAATCCATCAAATCATCAGTTAGTCTTTCTGTTATTAGAAGTATTCAATAATATTATTCAATATCAATTTGATGGTAAGCGTGTTTGGATTATCTATTCTCATTTTCTTTGTTTATCATTTCGTCTATCGTTAGTTTTATAGAGCGGCAGCTTAGTGGTTAAAGCATCTGACTTTCAACCAGTAAGTTATGGGTTCGAACCCCGCCATGTCAATTTTTTCTGCATTATCTCTCAGATGTAATTTTTCATGAAATATGCATTTATCCAATCTGTCCTGCTAATAACTGTAGATACAAAATACTTTCTTATCTGTTAAATGATATTACCAATAATTTGCCTGCTTAATCCGCTAATTTTCATTACTTTTTCGAAAAAACTCACTGTTATATTCTGATGTTCAGTCTTCTCTGGTCATGACACCACTTGACTCTCCCCAATTCAGAACAAAGTTGTAAGCGAGCAAATACATTTTACAACAAACCTGAACAATGGGAATACAGTAGCAAAAATGTTTGAGTGGTAACGAATTTACGTATGGATCTTATAGGTTGTCGATTCATTTACTGACACTCTTTGGTTAAAAATAGACTGATCAGCTTTTCCTACTTTTAGCGCCTGACCAGATAATGCAATATTTAGGACTTTGCCTACCCTAAACAAGTACAAGTTTATGTACGTTTTCTGGAGATGTAGTTTTAAATGTGAGGGCTGGTGATACCATTTAGCTATCCATACCAAACTGGGTGAATATGTGTTCGAATCTGCAACTTAGCTGTGCCTGTAAGCTGAGTCCTTATATCACTAGATCATCTTTGTCAGTATATGGTATTTAGTTTTGTGCAAATTCTTCAGTACCTCTGTACGTTAGTAAAACATGAATAAACTGTGATATTCGGGTTATAAATATCGTTAACGATATCTAGTTCTCTCGAAAATTACCCTCTTTTAAGGTTTATTTATAATTATGAATTTTTCGGAACATTGACTAATTAGTTAAGACGTTCGGCTTTGAGCCAAATATCAGGTTCCAACTTCACTCCACCCTTTTTGTTTTGTTCAGCCGGTTAGAATCATTACACGTCGCACCGAGAATGTAGCTTAAAGCTAGTTACATAAATATGTAAGCGAGTTAATAATCTAATTAATTCAGTGATCCAGTTATTGTCAGCTATTAAATTTGTAGAACCTAAGCTTCATATTTTCGAAATACTTATCATCTGCATGCATATATATATATATATATATATATATATAGGTCTGGATTCATTGTGCCAGCAATTATTTCTTTTGTAAGATAACTTTCTTCTAACCAATCGAGTACTTTTCTTGTATTCATATCAAATGAGTTCTTGCTTTGCGATTATTTTATTGCATAAACCTTGTTTAAATTTCGCTTTATTTCTTATTTGTCCTTCTCTCTCTCTCTTTCCAGGTAATAGCAATTTGGTATATACTTTAATAAGGAAACGTCAAATATTTTATCGGCTAGCTAATTTACCCACTGATCAACCTACTATTCATAGTATAGTTAATAAACAAATGAAATCCCAAAGTAGTGGTCATATTACAATGGAATCTACTACTACTGTTCCTTCTAGTACTTCATCTCGAACTTCTAGCAGCAGTGGTGGGATTAAAAAATCTCCTGTTGAAACTTCTGTTTGTAAACCTTTACCAATATCGGAAGTAGCAAAATCATCATCTACTTCCACTTGTTTATCTGTTGAATCATCTGTTTATCATAATGACGATAATGATAATGTTGGTAATGGTAATGTTGACAATTCAAGTATTGTCGAGTCCATGGATCAAGTATCTTCTCGGGTTTGTTTTGTTTCGTTTATGTGTATAGAGTAAAAATGGAATGCTTTGCTTATGTTTCTATCGATTTTCTACACAAGATCTTCATCGGCAAAGTTATTTATAAGTTCTCAACAGACCCTCAATCGATCTAACTTTCTTCTAGTAGGAAATGTCAGTTTCAATTGAGAAAAGTAAAAAAAAGGATAAAAAAATTCATCTCAATGTATATCTTGATCAGTAGCATCTAAACTGTCGATGCTTATGTATACAAATCAATAAACTGATGGTTTGGAAAGGTTTATGCTGTTGTTAATTTGAATAATCTATTCTGACAATCATTATACAATTCATTCCAAAAGTGAACTGTATCTTCGATGCCTAATTTTTTCTGTTACTACTCAATAGAAGACCCTCGCTCCTTCTGGAACACTTGTTTAGACTCTGATCGTCCTCTAATAGTAGCACGCATTTGCTTGCGCCCTACTATAAGCAGAGAAACCACACTAAGAAGACCCATAAGAGTTGGATTCAACGATGAGAAAACCAAAGATAAATTCCAAGAACAACTGAGACCACACTTAGGCAATTTCGAAAATGAGACTGACCGAGATGTTGCTTAGAATGATATACGAACAGCTGTGGAAACAGCGGCGACATCTACTAGTGATTTAAACCAAAGGGTTACGAAACACCAGTGGATTTCTGCAACATCTCTTGCACTGATAGACTCTCGTAAACTCTGAACACGATGAAGAGTGAAAACAGATCAGGTCTAGGTTAACTAAAGTCTACAAAACGATCGTGAGCAGTGATAGACAACGAAAGCAAAAGTGATAGAACCGGCGGCGACTGTATGTAGCACCAGACAGCTTTTCAGACTAATAAAAGAAACTGGAATTAAGATGTCGAGTGTAAGTGAGACGGTCTCGGAAAAGAACGACACCCTTATCTGCTCTCAGCTCAGACGTTTAGAACGATGCAAGAAACACTTTGAGGAGAAGTTCAGCTGGCCTTCAGCTACTCTACAACTACTCACTATTCTCATATAGCCTGAATGGAACATTGAAGTGACCCTCCCGACCCTAATTAAAGTTCAAAAAGCCATAGATAATCAGAAACGAGGAAGAGCAGCTAGTCCAGATTGATTAACTACAGAGGTTTTTAAGGATAATGGTCTAGTTTTAGCGATTAGGTTGACTAATATTATAGCTCAAATATGGGAGTTGGATGTGATCCCATCTGACTGGTCGCAATAACTAATCGTCTCAATATATAAGAAAGGATCATCCTTTGATAACCACAGGGGGATTAGTTTGACTAATATAGCATCTAAAATACCAGCCTCAATAATTATCGGATGCCTAACAAAGACTCGTGAACTGCAAACACGCGAAAATCAGGCTGGTTTTAGATATGGTCGTGACTGCATCGACCACATATTCACCATTCATCAGATTCTAGAACACAGATATGCTTATCGGCGTCCGACAATGATAGTTTTTCTTAACCTAAAAACATCATTTGACTCTGTAGACCGAGAGGTTTTGTGGTAGTGTCTGTCTGTAACCTCAAGTAGTGCCTAGCAAGACTGTCCACTATCTCCCTTTCTGTTTAATTTTATCTCAGACCTATTGCTGTAAATAACGTTCTCGTCGACTGAATTTTCGGGAATCTTTCTCCTACCAGGAGGTCCACTTATTGACTTAGAATACGCAGACAACGTAGTCCTGTTTGGTGAAGATGCAGTCTTTTAGTAACACTGAGCAACAATGCCAGGATGTTTGGAATGCGTTTTTCCCCCCTTTAAATGCAAATTTTTGCTTCAGAACTGACCTGAACTAAGGATAGGAAGTGAAGTAGTCGAACGCGTTGACAACTTCACTTATCTTGGAAGTCTGATCAGTCCTAATGGGTTGGTGTCTGATGAAACCTCAGCACAGATTCAAAAAGCTCGTTTGGCTTGTTCCAACTTACGTCATCTATAGCGAAGGCGAGATATCTGTCTACCAACTAAGTGACGAGTATACTGCGCTGCAGTTCGTTCTGTTGTACATAACGGCTGTGAACCATGACCATTAAGAGTAGAAGATACACGTAAGTTTTAAGTATTTGATCATAGATATCTTAGAAATACTGCTCGTATCCTCTGGGATCACTGGGTATGTAATAGTGAGGTTAGACGTAGGGCATTAGGAAATGATAGTAAGTCAGTTGATGAGGTTGTGTCTTCATCGCCTGAGATGGTTGGGTCATGCGTTACGCATGTCCGACCACCGATTATGAGGGTGTGCAATGCTTACTAGCGTTGGAGACGGATGGAAGAAGTTAGGAGAGGACAAACCAAAACGTGACACAAGTCCCTGAGGTCACTAACTTGTCTGAGCCATACCTGTAGGTGAAAACTACTTGGTTTGGGTTCGGGTGACTATCGTAACCAAAGGTTGGAGTGACATGGCTCAGAGTCGATCACAATCTCGTTTATCTTTATGATTACTTACTGTATGATATTAAGTACTTTTTCATCCAGATATATAATTTTACTATCTAAGTATTACTCATAGTAATAATAATCGCTTTATTTAAGTTTATGTGTTTAGTTGAATTTTGGATTTCCAACTTCTTGGCGGTCTGTTACGCAACCAAACACGGCATGAAAAATTTGGTCTCCAAGGAATTCAAAAAGACCATGACACATTCTCTTATGAACCAGTTGCGGGTTATTAATTGATCATGTAATGACTGAAATCCTACAAAGTTCAGCACCTTAGAATCTCAAAGTTTACACTACAATTATAGCTTTCCCTATCTTCTTCCTCCAATGTTCTGTATAGGTGACTGTGTCATATATCACCTTCTCCTGGAACACCTTCGAAATGCTATGTGTCTCATCGTAAAACAGTCCAGAAATTAGTTTTACATCCACGGCAAGCTAAATGACGAATGCTAGTCTTTTTAATAATCTAAGTTTTGTTACGTAAAATGTTGCAATATCATTTAGCTCCTCCTTTGCTCAAAGCTTTAGTACGTTTTTGAACGATCAAATATGATTTAAACCCAAGTACAATTCGACTTGTAAAAACTAAACTATAAAAAGTATTTTCGTAAACTGACATTTATTGCTTCAAACTTCCATAATTTTATTTTTCAGTGATATCGTCCTTTGAAAATATTCTTTTTTTTCAATTTTTTCTAACCAAGTTAAATGAACTAAGTGTTGGTAAACCTGGCGATTCGATTCAAGCCAGTTTAGCTGATGTCCCTCCATTGCATAAAATGACAGGTAAACGTTTAGGCAATGCTACTCAATTAGATGAACGTTTCTCAAATTATCATTCAGAAATCGAGAATAATTTAATATCACATTCTTCACCTAGTCAGCGTATTCCAGTGGATAGTAATAATAATGGTAATAATAACAATGAATCTGATAAAGATTCAACAATACATAATGTTCAAGAATGCCCAATAAATAGATCTGGAATTTCAGAAAGTTCTGTAAGTCATTCACTTTTCCTGTCTGTAAAAAAAGTTTTTTAATAGGTTTTATTGGTTCCCGTGTGATTGAGCAGCGATCATGAAAAGTAGTTGTCTGAATCTCTCTCTTTAGTCCGGTTATCAATTAGTCCATATAAATTGGCTGTAGGACTGATGACATTTTAAGTAGCAATTGACATATCGACCAATGAATACTAATCAAGATGTTAACGTTTATTGATCGTTAAGAACCTTCTAACCTAATGGTCATTCAGAATTGAATACCTCAAGTGGTGTTCGTCCGGGCTATCCACTCTCCCCATTCTTGTTTAACTTTGTCGTTGACGTGCTTTTAGAGATAACACTTTCCAGGAGTTTAACTTCTACCGGGAGGTTCACTTGTTGACTTAGAATATACAGATGACATAGTTTTATTTGGTGAAGACGCTGACAAAATGCAGAGTCTTCTGACCACTCTAAGCAACAATGCAAGCATGTTCGGGATGCGATTCTCTCCCTCGAAATGCAAAATGTTGCTTCAGGATTGGGTTGCATCGACACCCGGAATAATGATAGGGAGTGAAGCAGTTGAGCGTGTCGATCGCTTCACTTGGGAGTTTCATCAACCCTTGTGATCCAGTGTGTGACGAAATCTCAACACGGATACAGAAGGCTCGACTAGTTTTTGTCATTTATGGCGTAGGCGTGTGCGTCAGTTTGTGCCGTCCTATTTTATGGCAGTGAAACATGGCCGGTAAGAGTAGAGGATATCCGTAGGTTACTAGTATTTGATCATAGGTGTCTTCGAAACATTGCTGGTATATCCTGGGACCATCGAGTAAATAACGCAGTTGTTAGGATACGGGTACTAGGTAAGGATGGCAAATCAATTGATGACGTAGTGAAACTTCATCATTTGAGATGGCTGGGACACGTGTTACGTATGCCCAACGACCGACTGCCTCGACGTGCGATGCTCAATGGTATAGGAGTAGATTGGAAGAAAGCTAGGGGCGGCCAGACCAAAACATGGCACAAGTCCATGAAGTCACTGACAAGTGGTCTGAGTCATGTTGGTAGGTGTAGACTACCTGGTTGGGGACCGCGAGATGATAGCAACCGATGGTTAGAGACCCTGAATGACATGGCTCAAAATCGTATGCAATGGCTCAGGTGCATCCACTCTTTGTGTTCTCTCAAATTTTGATCTCCTGATTCCTCTTTGTCTCTCTTTTCTCTTCCCAAATTTATTTCACTGGATTATACTCTTTAAATAACATCTCCAAACCCTAATCTTCCCGATTACTGCTTATACTCATACTACCTCTACCACTACGGGATTTGAATCGACCACTGCATCTCTATGCTAATGTGGTGTGTCAACTCGAACTGATGTACGTACGTACGAAGTTCCACGTTGTTACTGACTGAATAGTCATTCAGAAGACAAGGGTTGAAAGCAGATCAGTTCTCTGTTGTACTCGACTTAATCATACCTGCTATGTCTGACCACATAACAACATACTTAAGGAATTACAATGTGTACATAGCTTGGTCATAAATGATATAAAACCAGAGCAAATGGGAAATGGTTGAGTTGGAACAACAAGATACATGACTCCGATTTATAGGTCAAACAAAATCTTAGAAATAGAAGAATATAAAAATACGAAAGTTTAGCGTCTATTAATTAAGCAATCAAAATATAAGTGGTAATTCTTCATACGTTACTCCCACGAGTTGTAATTTCACACTACTCGTCTCATTATACCAGTCTCTCTGGAGTTAATTTATAAAATGTTAATCCATTTTATCAATTGAATATAGATGGTATCATTAACATTAGTTCATTAGTCATTTAACGCATAATATTTGAGTGTCGATATATGTAAAGTGCAAAAATAAACTTCGGTTCGAATTGTCTATTCATATTTCTTGATATCGTTAAATTCACAGTCTATCAATAACTTTGCTAGCTTTTTTGAGCTAGTTGGCAGAAAACCCTACACCTAAGTTCTCTGTAGCAGGTGGCAACCATCATCGAAGTGTATTTGTAATCTTAAGAGAACTGATAATCCCTATGAGATCGGAATGCATATCATTCAGTTTTATAGTCTATAACATTATTAATGAGTTGTTTATATAAACTGTGACTAACCTTCAATTGAACTGAAATATTTACAAGTCTTTAGCAAATAATGATCAATGATCATATTCGAGTGTTGATCGAATTCTGTCGATCAGTTAATTTTTGTTAAGGATATAAGTTTCTCCCTTTAATAACAGTAATATTCTGTTCATTTTTCTTTTTTTATTTCCTCAGCTGACAAGTACAAATCAGACAAAAGAAACACAAAACAGTTCATTAACTTCTGATACACAATCTTTTCATTCCATTGGAACAATCACATGTAAACAATCACGCACCAGTGGTAGAAGTAATTCATCTCATTCAGTTAATGATAATAATGATAAGTTACAAAAATTGAATGAAAGAAATTCATCGAATTGGGAACCAACATCAGAATGGGTTCATAGTTGGAAATTAAAAATGCCTTTTCAAACAATTATGCGTTTATTGCAGGTATTAGTGCCTCAAGTTGAAAAAATCTGTATTGATAAGTAAGTTCTGATACTGTTATTACTTCCCATTTTCTGTGATCTTGTCATTGAATTAAAGTTCTTTGAATATCTAGCTGTAAAATATGGTCAGTTATAAGTAGTGTAGAACTTAGCGCATATGTGGATCGGTTCAAGTTTCCTTTACATGTAACTCAAGGAGATTTGGCAATGCCATGCTCGTCATAGCCATTCAGTTTCTTCATTTTTATTAACTCTGACATAGAAATTCTTTAAAAGGTAACACCCTCTTCGTTTGACTTTTCAAGAGATTGACTCGTTGACTTAGAATACGTAAATGGTATACTTCTGTTTAGTTGAGATGCTGGCAAAATGCAGATTCTTTTTACCTTTAAGCAACAATGCAAATATGTTGGAATGTGATTCTCTCCTTCCAAATGAAAAACGTCGCTTCAGTACTGACGAGCACCAGTGTTTGAATTGATAACAGAGTGAAGTAGTTGGGTGCGTCGATTATATCACTTATTTTAAGTGTTTAATCAGTCCTGATGAGCTGGTGACTGACGAGATCTCGGTACTTATTCAGAAAGTTCCGTTGGCGTTTGCCAACGTGGGTCACTTGTAGCGCGGGTGAGATATCCGTTTTTCAACTAAAGGATTAGTTTACTGCCCAACACCTCGCTCCGTTCTATTTTATGACTGAAACGCAACCTTTGAGAATACAGGATATTCGTGGATCACTACCATCCGATCTTAGGTGTCTCCGAAGCATTTCTCGTGTATTTTTGGACCATTAAGTACGCAATCCTAATGTTACACAAAGGGTGTTACTCAAATATGGCAAATGGGTTAATAAAGCAGTAAAGCTTCAACTAAGGTGGTTAGAACATGAATTACATATGCCAAACCACGGTCTACTTCGACAAGCGATGTCGTCTAGTGCAAGAGTAGATTAAAAGACAACTGATTTTGGCCAATCCAAGACATGACACCAGTTCATGAAGTCATAGACAATCGGTCTGTGCCATGTAAATATGTGTAGATTACCTGGTTAGGGTGCACAAGACAATCACAATATTTTAGCTCCGTGCTTTAAAAAGGTTACCACAGAGACGAAAATTTGTAGGGCAAGTTTTGGTGATCTATTTTTATCGCTGACCTTGTCTAACCCTCTTCCTCTTTGAAGCATCGCTTCAAATGTTGATTATTCGAGAGAAACACCTTACTGACGTCATATGCGTATACAATCGATTGTACAACTTCTCCGTCAAACTACAAGCTTGTTGCTTTATTCTTAAGTATCTGTCAAGTCTGATATTTAATATTGTTTGACGAAGAACACAGAATAAACACTTTAAATATTCTTACTTTGATTTGGACAGACAATTAGTATAACTATCATCATTATTGGGCTTAAAGTCATGTACGTGAACTTGAACGTTGTAAATCAATTATATCATACTATTAAATATTTCAAAGATGTTTATATTATTGATATGTGAAGCTTGATGAAAAAAACAAGACACAAGAGAATGAAGTGTTGAAAAATGGGTAAAGCTGATTACAAAACTTGGAAAAAAGGATCTTATAAGCCACATCGAATCACCACCATATTATATACATTCGAGGTCTATTGCTTTCTTGTGGATTCTGACGGTCTGTTTACTCATTTATTTGTTGGGTACTAAGAGGCGTAAAGTATTCCATATCTGGCGCTACTCAAAATCATTCCTATATAGTGAAGGTTCACTGAAAGTTCAGTACTTTCCTTAACTCCCATTTCATCATATTCTGGCCATATCATAGTGAGCAAAGTAGAATGCAGAGTGATTTAAAAAATATAGAAATCAGGTGGATGATTTTGGTGTTGTTTGATTCTCTAAACAAGATGGTTTATTGGCAGAATTTTCATTGTTATTCTGGACAACATCATCAGCACCTCATGCAAGTAAGAGCTGATGATGTTGTCCAGAACAACAACAATAGCTTCATCATTAAATCTCTGAAAACTCAACAATATCTAGAGAATGGAGAGTTGTATGTATGGGGATGATTAATTGTGATGACCGACAAGTTTAGTTTCTCACTTATCTCTCAATGTACAAAACATATTACACTTTGTTCCACTGTAATGATTAATTAATCTATAATGAAATTTTGTTTCGTT